TTTGAAAAGGATTTATTCAATTATACGAGAAATTTCAATGCCAATACAAACTTGGCCCTTCCACCCTTTCCGCAGGTAAGCAGCCCCGTGGGTTTCACTTCATTGATAACCACTTTTAGTTCTCCGAGAATTTGTCGCACGGCATGACCGACGAACGAGGACGCGATATCAAAATCAAATTCGATCACGGTACAACCACTTTAGGCTTTCAGTATAATGGAGGTGTTGTACTTGCCGTCGATTCTCGAGCTACCGGTGGCGATTTTATTGGATCGCAAACGATGAAGAAAATCGTGGAAATTAACGATTTTTTGTTGGGTATGTAGAATTGATTGGTGGCATTTGATAATGATGCATTCAGGTACTCTCGCCGGTGGAGCTGCCGATTGTGTGTATTGGGATAGGGTGTTAGCTAAGCAGTGCCGTATGTATGAATTGCGTAACCGTGAACGTATATCAGTCGCCGCTGCTTCAAAATTAATGGCGAATATGGTGTACAATTATAAAGGTATGGGACTTTCAATGGGAATGATGATCGCAGGCTGGGATAAGAGAGTAGGTTCTCTTTTATGTTACGAAATACTCTGCTAATCTTACTTTTTAGGGTCCTCAGTTGTACTACGTGGATTCGGAAGGTACTCGCACTCCTGGACAAGTGTTTAGTGTTGGTTCTGGATCTATTTTTGCGTTTGGAGTTTTGGATGCCGGTTATAAGTGGGATTTAACAGATGAGGAAGCATATGACTTGGGAAGACGTTCAATTTATCACGCCACACATCGTGATGCATATTCTGGTGGAATTGTTCGTGTCTATCATATGAAGTCCACAGGGTGGGTTAATATTGACAATATTGATTGTATGGATTTACATTACAAGTATAAGCAAGAGAAAGAAGATAAATTAAATGAAATTTAAGTTTATATGTATCTATAACTTTTTTTAAATTAAATTGGAATATTTGTCGCTCAGGAGTTTAGATAGAGAGTGAAAGCTGAAACAAATACTAAGAAATCACAATAAAACGTCTACGTTTGGACAGTAAAGCTTACATTTTATTAATAATTCCGATTTTAAACTAATATAAAATCTTTAATTCTCAACACAACTACACATTCAGAAACAATTCTATTGCACCGGCGATATAAATATCTAGCGACTAGCTTTAATGAAATTGATTAATCCATTAGTGGATCCATCGTGGGATGAGACAGGATTATTATCCTGCAGTTCAGGTTCGATTGCTTTTGCAAGTTGTTTACCAAGCTCGACTCCCCATTGGTCAAACGAGTTTATATCCCAAATCACCCCTTGAGTGAAAATTTTATGTTCATATAGAGCTGAAATAAAACTTAAGCATTAGCAAAAAATAAAAATAAAAGAAGTTACCAATGAGAACTCCCAGCACAAATGGTGTCAGTTTCTTAAAGACAATGCTGTTTGTCGGTCTATTACCCTGGAATATTTTATGTGGTAAAATATGTTCTAAATTGGAACCTGATAATCCTTGTTTCTGTAATTCTTGACGCGCTTGTGCTTCTGTTTTTCCAGTCATCAACGCTTCCGTCTGAGCCAGAAAATTGGCCAATAAAATGTTGTGATGTTTACCATTGCTGATAGGATTGTGAGTTTGTGCCGGCGCAAAGAAATCGCACGGTATGACACGTGTACCCTGATGGATTAATTGGTAAAATGCGTGTTGGCCATTAGTACCCGGTTCACCCCAAACAATCGGACCGGTGGAATAATTCACCTAAATTCTTTAACTTTAATTTCTATTCACAATTACCTATAGATAAACATACCACTTGGCCACTCCTAGTTACATATTTCCCATTACTTTCCATGTCGCCCTGTTGAAAATATGCGGCAAAACGATGCAGGTATTGATCGTAGGGGAGCAGTGCGTGAGTTTCTGCACCGAAGAAATTACTGTACCAAATTCCCAGCAAGGCTAAGATGACAGGAACCTATAAAATGCACATAGAACTATGGAAAATAGGCTCTCAAGTGGAGAAGATAGCTATGGATTTCACAAAAGGGCTTTAATTGGTTTCCACAGAAATCCGCAATTTCTTTTCAAGGTTTAAATTTCACGGAAATTGTCTAGTGGTAAAAAAAACTAAATGGGCTCTACTATTGATATTGGCGCAGTCTTAATTTTGGGCACCAACAACACAGTTTTTAGTTTCTATGGTTAATTTCCAATAAAATAACTGCAGCTGTTTTCTTGGTCAAAATAAGGAAGAAGTTCATGAAAATCCTTCAGAACCAGGAGAAAACACTGTTGAATGAGCAAAATTTAATCAAGAAGAAAGGCATTTTAAATAAAAACAAAAAAGGAAAGAAAAGGTGTGTTAAGTTCATCATTAAATAGTGCAATTGAAATAAAGTATGCAGCGTACTAGTTAAATTCTCAATTCTCTTATTAAAAAGAGAGTCACATAACAAAGAAGAAAAATTATCATATAGATAGTATGAATTGTTTCGTGATGGATGGATTAGCAGTCAAGGTCTCAATCCCCTCAGCGCCAGCATACTCTTCAAATTCGATTTTTGTGGGAAGTTAAAAATAGTGTTTCACTGCAAAAAACAATTGCATGGCAAACATTTGAGAGGCATTAAAAATGAATGTATAAAATGCAAGGCAGGAAGTTCAGTGAAATTTTGGTTCCCTCTATAACCCAATTTTTTTGTTTGACCTAAAAGATTTCAATTCCTTTAAAAAGGACTTAGAGGTTTGAGTTTGAAGTGACAGTGTTTTTTAAAGAGTTATCAATTGTAAATTTTTTCAACCTTCAACTTACATTCTTTTCAAGTGGCGCTGTGGTGAAATGATTATCCATGTGATTAGCCCCAAGTAACAATTGTTCAAAGCTATCGAATCCAACCGACAAACATATGCTCAAGCCGATAGCCGACCACAAAGAGTATCGTCCTCCCACCCAATCCCAAAACCCGAACATATTAGCCGTATCAATTCCGAACTCTGTTACTTTGGAAGTATTAGTACTCAAAGCGACGAAGTGTTTAGCAACTGCGGTCGGCTACAATAGAAGATGTAATGCAATGTAGACTATAAGCTCATTAATAATTACATCCTTCGCATACTGCAAAAACCACTCCTTTGCGGATGTTGCGTTCGTTATAGTTTCTTGAGTAGTAAATGTTTTTGAAGCTATAATAAACAAGACCCGTTCAGGATCCACATTTTTTAAAACCTCAGCCAAGTGGGTACCATCAATGTTTGAGACAAAATGCATACTAAGGCCCTTATTATAAGGCTTCAATGCCTCTGTGACCATTAATGGCCCCAAATCAGAACCACCTATGCCTATATTAACGACATCCTTTATAGTTTTTCCCGAATATCTACAATGGTACAGTAAAACAAATGAAATTTCTATTCTGAAAATACACACCCTTTCCAAACTCCGCTAAGGACCGCATTTGTAAAATCCTTCATGTGGGCCAATACACCGTTGACATCAGATGTAACATCCTGACCGTCGACATGAATGGGAACGTTTCCACGATTCCGCAATGCAGTGTGTAGCACCGCACGATTCTCTGTAAAGTTAATTTTTTCACCTTTGAACATAGCATCTCGGGCGGATTCTAATTTTCGAGCGCGTGCTAATTGGAAAAGTAGGCTCATCAATTCCCCATTGATACGATTTTTTGAATAATCTACTAGAATATTTCCATCCCTCGGAGTGTCAATGGTTACACTACAACAAAGTACAATGACAAATGAAGGTCAGTGAAGTCCTTCAGGATGAAGTGATTACCTGAAGCTATTAAATCTGTTGGCATCCTGCTTGAATTCCTCTAAAATGTTTATAAACTTTCCCTTGTTGTTGTAATAATTTTGGATGGCTTGGAAGACCGGTTCTCCTGTTAAGGGCGCTCGAGCTTCCATGGTCTTTAATGGAAATTGCAAATATTCACTGAACAGAGACGCGAAGTGATAAACTCCTTTGAACTAACGATTAAAATTCACTTTCTAAAAAGCCTGTTGACGCAGGCTTACTGAAGACTGAAGTATTTCTAGGGTGATGCCTTATTTTAAGAGAGTGTGTTATCGTCATCTTTAATCTTTTATTAACAATTTGTGGTATTAAAATCTACATTTTTTGTTGCTTTACGAAACCTATAATCCCTTCAGCTAAGGTACAGTGCACACTGCGATGTAAGCCGTACGATTACCGTTAAGCCTAGCCCGCACACAACCATAAATTATATTATTAGATTACAAATAATTCTTAATTGTAGGTACCTACATGTTTTTGGGTACTAATTGGCTTAAAGCAGTTTAGGGGATATGATTCCCCTTCCTCCCCAACAAAATGAACAAATTACTATTCCCTCCCAAAGTGCCAAAGTCTTGCACGTCGCGGTTATTTTGGGGGTCTGATTTGTATTTTGTAAAGTTGGTGGTCCGGGTGGTAGGCTACTATTTAATAGAACAATTTTTATATTGAATAATTCTTCGCATTTTCATCTTTAGGAGTCAATAATCTCGAATGAACAATATAATGAAAATGAAAAACGCAGCCGTACCATCTTTTGTGAAAACAACATAGAAAATTACATGACTTTGGAAAGTTAATTCAAAGTTTAAACTACGAAATATGTGTAAATTAGTGAATAGCAACGATCATATCGCCTATGGGTACATTTAAAACCGAAGTTTTTTGTTAGCAGAGTTCCACCCCTAGGACAGGCGACTAGGCTTCCTTTAATCATTTTGTGTTTATCTCCTCTTTGTTGTGACATTTTTAAAGTAACAGTAAGATAATATTTATTTTTATCTTACATACACTGTTTTTGGGGCATTCTGGGCGCTGAGCCGTTTTAGGCTTTCCAAGCCAAAGCTCTCTATGCCCTTTGCGCGTGACCTTTCTGGGCACATTCAGCAAAAACCGATTCTTGCAAATTAGATTTTTGAGTGTTTCTCCAACAGATTTGTGTCTTTAAATGTTTTGATTGAATTGCTGTTTTTTTTTTACCCTTATGACATGGTGAAAGCGTTATTTATGGATAAACAATGGTTAAAAACTCAAGCGTTTTGTAAACGTTCTGTTGAATGCACCCATTTTTAATAACAACTTGTTGACATTTGACCGCCCTTGACATACGTTTGACATCTTGAAAATGGTAAGTTGATATAATTTAAAATTTTCAGCAACAAAGATAAGTAATCGTAAAAAATGGGCACATTTCACGCGGGTTTAATGTGGAATATACACTCAACAGATATGCTTAATTTAAGGGTAGCAAATATACAAACTTCCTTTTTTAACCTCTTCTTGTACTTTAATAATTACTGTTTTAGCCTGCTACTTCACAACAGTTATCACCTGTTGAAGAACAAGAGAAACTTTTGGACGATGCGCTCGGTCAAGTCAAAGTTAATGCATTTCAAGTGAAACGATGTCTTGATAAGGGCAAGCTTATGGACGCTTTGAAACATGCCAGCGCAATGCTTGGCGAATTACGTACATCACTATTATCACCAAAGAGCTATTACGAATTATGTATGTTGTACTATGTTAATTTACACCTCTTTAAATGTTGACATTGCAGACATGGCCATAACTGATGAATTACGACACATGGAGTTGTATTTACTTGATGAATTCCAGAAAGGAAGGAAAGTAACAGATCTCTACGAATTAGTTCAGTACGCAGGGAATATTGTACCTCGACTTTACTTACTCATCACAGTTGGATTGGTGTATATCAAATCCAATTCCGGATTAAAACGTGACATTTTAAATGACCTTGTGGAAATGTGCCGAGGTAAACTCCGAACTGTGCTGTATACTTACTAATTTTGACCAACAGGTGTACAGCATCCTCTGCGAGGTCTTTTTCTACGTAATTATCTATTGCAATGTACGCGTAACGTACTGCCCGACTCTCCCGAAATGGAAAACGAAGACGGCAACGGAAATGTTCGAGACTCGATTAATTTCGTTCTTATGAATTTTGCCGAAATGAATAAGCTGTGGGTTAGAATGCAACACCAGGGCCATTCGAGGGAGAAGCAAAATCGTGAGAAAGAACGAGAGGAACTGAGAATTCTTGTTGGCACAAATTTAGTACGGCTTAGTCAGCTTGAATCTGTTACGATGGAGAAGTATCAGAAAATTGTGTTACCTGGGATTTTGGAACAGGTTAGTCATAATTACTCTTGCAGCATGGGATTAAATAAGTGTTCAAAATATTTTTAAATGGTAAAACCAAACAATAGGGGGAGAGTATCATAGAAGTTATACACAAAATGAGTACTGCAATCTTGTAATATGCATTTGTGAGGGCATTTTTTCTTGGTAGAGAGGTCATGTGACTGCATAACAAGAAAATATGTATTTGGTATTTGTTTGTTTTATTGTGTGCAATCTCATGTGCAATTCTTCTTTATATATTCTATTGTTTAAAACGGACTCCTTTAGAGTGTTGCAAAAAATGAAGGCTCTTGACTAATGTAATGTGAATGTTATTGCACATAGTACCCCTCTAGTACCCTAAACCAAACACGTGAGGATATTGTTTGTCGGGATTTGTTAAATTGTACCCTGGGAGAAATAAAGAAAGGACTGTCAGATAAGGGAGTAATCGATGTCAAACGTATCAAGGCAATAATTAATGGGGAGATGGTAGACCCTGCTTCTCACTTTTAATAAAATATAATTGCTCAATAAGGTTAAAGCAGGTGTTTGTTGCCTGTCGGTTCGTCTGTATGTACCAGCTCTAATGAGATGTTAAAGATGTCAAAGGTTTGGACACACTGCTGTCAAATGTTCAAATGATACATGAGGACAAAGAAATGGATATACAGGAAGTTAAAGCAAAGGAAAACGGGGCGTATTTTGAGGCCAAGAAAATCGTCTAAGCCAACAGCAACTGGAAATATGTACAGCCAAGTTGCACCAGTTGAAAATCAAAAAGTTGCGGAAGTAAAGGAGTTAGCCAAAGAATTAAATACTATGAAAGATTATCAGAAAATGCCATCTGAGTTTTTTCTTTTGTTATTGTTTTTTATACACGTGTGCAGGTGTTAGTAATTTTTTTTATGTTATTTAAAAAATTGTGTGATCCCTCCTATTTGACTATACAATGGATACGCACAAAATTTTACAGTGGAATTCGTAGAATTGTAGGGGTACAATAACTAGATACTGTGACATCAAAATGGTACGAGAGATTGTTCCACGACTAAAAAATGGTGAAATGCGCGTAGGCATAGAGTAAATAATATAAAGAGGTGTCATGGGATAGGATATTGTTGCATTAGAAAATCTTGTAAGGAAGTGTTGCTATCTTGTGACTGTTCTTCAAAGCTGTTGTATCGCTGTATTACCATTATAACAGCATGTAACCTGTATTACCTATTTAAATATAGTGAGAACAAAGTTGAGATTTGAATTACCTCATTACATTGCACCAGACACAGACCATGATATTGTCAGCATTATATTTAATCACCGGAATGTGATATTATGCTTCCTATGCAAGGAGTCTTTTAATTCTTTCAGGCCATAGACCTATTTATTTTATTATTTTAACGCCTTTACCCAATTACAAACTTTATTTGAATTTAGCTAGCAATGAAAGTTAAATAGGTACAGTGAGAAAATATAACTGATTATGCGTATAATTTCTAACGTTTTTGTTGGATTAGCGGTACACGTAGACCGTTTTAACACTGCTTTAGCAATTTTGTGTGGAATTTACGCAAACAAGGTCCTTTTGCGCAATTCACTAATGTGGGAGTGCTGTAAGTATAGTGTATTTGTGAGAGAAAAGATCAATTCCATCCATACTACCATTGTATACCATTGTATATAAAGATGTATATTATATACAATGATATTTTTTTTTCGGGGCAAAAAAAAGGCAGTGTATAACCTTCCTTTTTTCCAAAAATCGACTGCACCAAAATTTCTCGGGAAAACACTTTTTCTTATTAATTTTGGTGCGTAGAATCCAAAACAATTCGTACTTTTTCGATCAGACTTCTCAATCAAAAGTTATAGACTAGAAACCAATTTCGAAAAAAAATTCAAAGGGCTGTAACTTTTGAACTAGTAGCCCAATCTTGGAACTGTTTGAAATTATGGATTCTACAGGCCACATTCTATAAGAAAATTTTTTTTCCGGGTCGATCTGAGACAATTTTTTTTTGGAGCCTCAAAAAAAGGCACATTCCAAAAATACTACTAGCGTGGTCAAAGTACACTTATAGCTTCACAAAAAAATAAAAACCTCTTGAAATTTAAAATTTGAGTATTCAAAAAGGTTGTGCTTAATATGAAAAATTCTTTACGAAGATAGGTATGCAATTTTCCGGAAAATTGTCGAGTGAAAAATGTTGTTTTCGTTTTTTCACTGTAATTGTTTTAATATTAAATATATGGGAAAAAGGTTCAATGAAAATTTGTAGCTGATGCATTTATCTACAAAATTTGTCTGAAAAGTTTTTCTGTAAATTGAAAAGTGTACGAGATATAATTGATTTCAGCGGAAGTCGATTCGTGGGTGCGCGCGAACGTCCCGTGAGCCGAATTTATTTAAGGCTTGATTTAAAAGTTAATAATTTGAAGGTTGTGATGCACTGAAACAACGTAGATATTGACGAAGATGAAGATAATGATGACTTCGACGATCAAACAACTATAAATGGTGATAATCAAGACACTCAAGGTTCACATTTTGAGGATAACTTCAGTGAAGATGAAAATGATATTGAGTTATATTTGAGATCGGAAGACGAATGATACTGATTGATTTCAATATGATTAATAAATGAAAACTCTACGTTTCTACGTGTCATTGTTTATTTACTAGGCATCTTAAAATTAAAAACTTGAAAATTGATGATGTTTAAAAATACTCTTAGGAAAATTTGGTATATTTCAAAAACTAATGAAGATATCAGAAAACTTTTCAGACAAATTCTGTAGGTAAATGCATTGGCTATAATTTTTGATTTGAACATTTTTCTGTATTTTCATTATTTAAACAATTAAAAATTTTCGATCAAAGTTCTTCCGGAAAATTGCTTACCTAAATTGGTAAAGATTTTCTCATATTAAGCACAATCCTTTTAACTACCTAAATTTGAATTTTCAAAAGGTTTTTACTTTTTGCTGCATTTTACGTATATTTTGTGTACTTTGACCAGGCTATACATCGGAATTGATTTGGCACTGGGCAGTCGGCAGTTCCGCACAGAAAAATCAGGAAAATTCTCTCTTCGCTGACCTACTTCCTACTTTACGAAGATTGAATTACTTTTATGGCTTGAAGATAAAGCAAAAATCTACGTAGGTGTAGATGACGATCACATTACAAGGCCATTTTCACTTTTATCTATAATTCTATAATCTTATTATGCAATGATTTAAATGATGTAATATATGAGAAAGTTAGAAGTAATAGAACCTCTTTGCTTTGAGACTGGCCAAGACCCAGAATATAACTTAATATTTAGTTTAGTATCTATGAAGTACATGTAGCCATAAGGAGACTTTAGAATACTGCTCCAGAATCTGATAAGATACCAGTGCCATTAAGAGCAGCTAAGTTACAGCTATTTAATGAATTGTTGCTTACGATATGATCTGGAAGTATGGTATAATGGAAAAATTACATAAGTATGATACAAGGGGTAACTTAACGTAAATTTGTCGAGTCCTTTATGGCAAATGTTTCCGGGTTCAAGTAGGAAATGCAGATAATTTAATGCCATTAACAGATGTGTTTATCTATGATCCGTTGGTCAAACTATGTCTGAGGTAATCCACAGATGGAAGAGTTGCATGTAAAGACCTCGGACGTTCAACAAGATCTACAAAAAATAAATAGAAGTGTGTGGCAGGATGAATGGTTGTGGGAAAATACACAGCTAGTACAAATTAAAACATGCGTAAAACAAAAATTATACTTACCTGAGTTTCAGAGAAAGGAACAGACCAAAATACATAGAATAAGAATAGGACATACTACATTTTCTCATGAATGTTTGTAGAAGGGCAATGCTAAACCACAGTGTAATGCATACTGCAACGTAGACCTTACTGTGAAGCATATAATATTCGAATGAAAGGAAGTTTATTAATTAGCGTTGCTTATAGGGAATAGATTCAAATAAATAAATAAACATTAAATAAAGTAGTCGAAGTTTTAAACAAACAAAAAATATGTACTAAGGCAAACGCTTACATGAGCGAAGCGCGGCGCGGCGTATAGGCGTATGAAATAAATGTAAGCGAAAAAGGCGCATTGCCGCGCCGCGCGTAAGTGAGGGTCGCTCTTTATATCTCCTTTTTTTTTGTTCAGTTTGACAAATAATTCAATACAAAATGAAAAAGATGCGCTTATTTAACATCCTGTGCTTTTTACATAAATTGATCATTGTGAATAAAAAACCAATTTACTTAAGTGAACAATTTAACACTCTTCAAAGTTTTCATACATATGGTACTCGTACTAACAATCTTTGTATACCCAAAGTTAACACAAAAGTGGGATATAGATCGTGCAGGCGGCAAAACTATGGAACAATTTACCAGTGAGTGTACAATTGATTGGAGAGTCTAAGACTTTTACTCGAGTGTGTTTGAATATCATAAAAAATGATGTTGATAGATTCTTTACTACTCTTTCATTCTTCTTTTATTGTTTGTTTTGATTTCTTCTATCGCTATATTATTGTATTTTTTGGTGTAGAATACCACTTATTGTTATGTAAGCTTGTAGAGGGGGGATTGACGGCTGCAAAGCTTTTCCTACCCCTTAATAAAGAAATATTATTATTATTAAAATGCCTAAATTTGACTTTTTATTTTCAGGTTGTGAGCTGTAAAGACGCAATCGCCCAAGAATATCTGATGGAGTGTATCATACAGGTATTTCCAGACGAATTTCACTTACAAACCTTAAATCCATTTTTGAAATCGTGCGCCGAATTAGAGACGGGTGTTAATGTGAAAAATATTGTCATTAGCTTAATGGAGCGTTTGGCAGTGTTTAGTCAACGTTCCGATGGTGTGGGGAGTGGAAGTGGCGAAGACAATTTTCCGTCCAACGTTCAGTTATTCGAGGTGTTCTCAGATCAAGTTGCGTCAATTATCTCAAATCGGCAAGATTTACCTGTTGAAGATATGGTATCGCTTCAGGTTGCACTTGTCAATTTGGCCCATAAGTGTTATCCGGATAGGGTCGATTATGTTGACAAAGTTATGCTTAACAGTACAGAGGCTAGTGAATCACTATTAATGTCGGTATTGTATTAATAGATTTCATTTGTAGGTTTTTGCACGGCTAGGCATGGAACGATTTGAGGCAAATTCGTCAGTTGGTAAAGAATTGCAGAAATTACTTAGAATTCCCATCGATAATTACAACAACTTATTAACCGTACTCAAATTGCAACATTACGCAACCCTAATGGAACATTTAGATTATAACGGAAGAAAGTTACTGAGTATTTACATTTTAAATAACGCGCTAGAGAGTGAAACTGTTATATCATCTCAAGAGCAAGTCGAGCAAGCTCTTAATTTAGTTTCTACGTTGGTTAGCGATCAACCTGACCAGCCCAAAATAGAAGTTGACATTGAGGAATTAGCCGAAGAACAGGGCCTATTGTCTCGGTTTATTCACCAATTTAAATCTACCTCTTCTGACCAGCAGTATTTGGTACTTTTATCAGCCAGGAAGGTGAGTGTTAACATTCATTTTTGATATAATACTACTATTCTGAAAGGTGATCTCCTTATCCCCCAACATTAAGATCTATTGTACCCTCTAGTTTTAGTCTCACTTCCTTAGGAGGATGTCTATATCTAGTACCCTCCTGGGAGCAGGGTAGCATTCCCGGGTGCATTGCCATTCCCCCATGGAACCCCTTGCCTTGACCCGTTATATGCCTCACAGTTACACAGTATAGACATAGGAGATTTTTTTTCACGCTGCACTATTTGCAAGGGGGGTCTACTTCAAAGCCCATATTGTTGGAGATGTATTTTCGTTGGACAGTGACCCGTTAAGAAACCTGCTAAAGATATTATTTGTACTAATCTTTCGCAGCTCTGGAGTGAGCTTGTCTCTGACCAAAGATGTTCCTCCAGTATTCTTTGTGCGAGAATGACTTTCATTACTTTTCCCACCATCACATGCACAATTCCATTACCAGCTGGGTCCTGTAAAAGGCATCTGTCAATTTCTCTAGCCAGTCTGGTTTCAAGTCAACTGTAACTCTAATCATTCTTTAATGTAAAGCAATATCTTTAACTCGCTTTGTTAAAGATTTTAGGTGCAGGAGGTGCACTACGCATTAAGCATACATTACCACCATTGGTGTTTCAAGCTTACCAATTAGCGCACAAATATAAAGATCTCAAAGAAGAGGATTCGATGTGGGAAAAGAAGTGTCAAAAAATATTTCAATTCACACATTCAACAATTACAGCTTTAGTAAAGGCGGAGCTGGCAGAATTGCCATTACGCCTCTTCCTGCAGGGAGCTCTAGCTATCAATCAAATTGGCTTTGAGAATCACGAAACTGTGGCCTACGAATTTTTATCACAGGCTTTCTCTTTATACGAGGACGAGATCTCAGACTCGAAAGCGCAACTGGCTGCGATCACATTGATTGTGGGTACACTTGAACAGATAAGTTGTTTCAGTGAAGAAAATGCGGAGCCTTTACGCACCCAATGTGCGTTAGCCGCAAGTAAGCTGTTGAAGAAACCCGATCAGTGTCGGGGAGTCGCTACATGTTCTCATCTGTTTTGGAGTGGAAAAAGTTTAGCCAGCAATAGAGAAGAAACTCACGATGGTAAAAGGGTTGTAGAATGTTTGAAGAAGGGCTTACGTATCGCAAAGCAATGCATGGATATTAGCGTACAAGTTCAGCTTTATGTGGAGTTATTAAATCATTATATATATTTTTTTGAGAAAGGTAACGATCAAATTTCCGTTCAAGTCTTGAACCAAGTAGTCGGTAAAATTAAAGAGGAGCTACCGAATTTGGAAAGTTCCGACGAAACAGAGCAAATTACTAAACATTTTAATAATACATTGGAACACGTTAAATCACGAATGGAAAGTCCAGAATCGGAAAACGTTTTATATGAGGGTATCGAAATTTAGATTTTTTATCGTTGTAATGTAGTACATACCATCATTTTTATGTAATTCAATTGTTTATATTCCTATTGTATTTAAGCATTTGTGTTATAATTTTAAATATAGTTTAGTCTATTGTTATTAGTCAGTGTCAATAATATATTATGTGTATCATTAATTCTAATTGCACATACACTGTACGAAAATGAGTATAGCTTTATTTCACTTAGGCATTAAGAAAATTTCAACAGGCCTATTCCATAATTGTTAGAATCTACAAGAGTAAAAACTATTAAAACATATAATTTAATTACCCTTTTTTGCTTTGTTTATTTAACTGAAAACTTTTAACTAGACAACGCTCTTTATATAGCCACAGATTGAACGATTTGCCAACAGTTGAAATTGGAATTTTAGCAAATTTTGTACAGTAGAACCCTGATTATCCATGTGTCATATTTGCAAAGTCTTTAATTGTGAACAGTGCAATTACAAAACGAAATATAGGAGATAATACGTCATTCTTTTACACACTCTGCTTTGAAAATATCTTGATATCATATTTTTTATGTATGTCTCCATGTCAGTCGTTCTGCCAGTATTGAGTATAATAAGATCACGGCTGAAGTATGTTTATATTTCTTTAGTTATTGATTTCGGAGGTTACCTCCCCATCATCAGACTTAGCTGAAAGGTTTTTAACATTCAATATAAATATATAAATGTGCAGCTGTGTTCTTATTACACTCAAAACTTGATATCACTTGATAAGCATAACTTTAAGCGGCATATTCACTTTCAAGGATGTTACGTCCACTCTGTGCGATTAGGTATGCCAGAAATAGTAAGAAAAATGTAAATCGTCATTTATTAAAGCACGACACATCGAAAGGTACTGATCGTTTAATTTGTGGTCACGAATAGTAAGGTAGTGGCGAATTGTGATAAAGTTGTATAAGTGCGCTAGAAATTGAGTGATAAATTGTGATCTTTATTTGTAATTAGGAAATTAAGCTGCGTGTTTCAGATAATTTAAGACCTTTCGAGTAGGATAGGATTAAGCGCTTCTATTTTCAAGCCTTAAAAACGGCAGGATAAACTCAATTCACTTTACGATTAAGTAGTACAATTTACACTTAAAAATCTGCGAGAAACGAGAATAACCCAATGCTACCACCTGCACCAGCGCCTCTGAATCGCCACTTGAAATTAGATTTTAAATTTACGCAGTATGCGCCACAAGATTAAAACTGACCAAAACTTTTCACACAAGACCAAAGTGACTGCCTTCTTTAAAAAAAAAAAGGTTTGTCACTCAAAGAAGTAAATTTGATAGTTCAACAGTCATACTCATCGACACGTGAACAAAAGGTTGTAAATTGTTGTGACACTTCCTTCCTAAAATGATGGATAGAGCCTCAATTAAGGTTTTTTTATCAGAAAAAAGGCTAAAAAGTTTGCACTAACTTGCGTTGGTTGGCTAATTTTCCTTATATGCGTAGATGCAAGTTTTTCATTTGTGAGGATTAAACGTTTGATGCTACCATTCATTAAAAAGACCTGACAGGTCTTTCTTGAAATCGTGTGATTAGTATTGTATGCAGGATAACTCAAGAACGGAAGGTTTTAGGGGCATATATTTAGTATAAACGGCAACTGAATCCAATTTATCTTTGATGCAACACACGGGACACAGTAAACATTGCTGTATAGTTCGCGCATCTATGAAAGTTCGAGAAGAGCGGAAGCGTCATGAAATTAGTGGATCAAGATAAACGAGAAGAGTAAATTTTCTACTATTTCCATTAAATTGTAAAGGCATCTTATAAGTGAAGGTTCCATTAAACCAGACCCTGATCTTTTGAAGCCATTGTTGAAAATTTCTCCACCTTGCTACAAAGTATTTGCAGAAGATTCGTCCTCTGATGAATAGTAAATTGTTTCCATTGTCAAAAGAAGCCACATCAGTTTTTACCAAGCCTTTTCTTTCGGACGTCCAATCGACGAAATACGAGACGTTTTGAAATATACGAGGCCAAATTAATAGGAAAAAGTGTTTTCCCGAAATTTTTTGGGTACTCGATTTTCGGTGAAAAAATGCCTATATTTTTGGTCGGAAAAATGAATTGTCAAATCGACCGGGAAAAAAAGATTTTCTTATAGATTTTGGCCTGTAGAATCCATAACCTCCAACAGTTTGAAGATCGGGCCACAAGTTTCGCGAAGTTAGAGAAAGTTGGGGTTGGTTGGGGGAACAAGGATGCTTATATAATAAGAATTGCTCAATCACGGAATTTTTTCGCCGCGTGTAGTGACGTCACTGGTGGATCCACATGCACCGCATGCTTTGATTTTTTATAATAATAATAATAATATTTATTCATGTTTTATACACATGTGCATGTACATTCGTCAACATCAACAATAGAATTTACATAAATTAACTATAGATAGAAACTATTATACGATTAACATTATAAGTTAACGAGAACAAACAAAATCACACTTTAGGAACTCTTCATACGAGTAGAACGCTTTATCTTTGAGGAATATTTTAATTTTATTTTTGAAGTCTCTAGGAGTTAGTATTTTAATTGTATCCGGAACGTGGTTATAAAATTGTTTGGCCCAGAATTCAGATCCATTTTGAGTTTTTGACAAGCGACAGAAAGGAACACATATATTGTCCTTAAAACGAGTATTATGTGTATGTACATCAGATTGTAGCGTATACAGGGAAATATTTTGTTTAGCATAACAAAGACAAGCCAGTACAAAAAGATTTTGATTTGTGCACCACTTTCATTTGTATTTTATATTATGTTAATTCAAAAAAAAGATACGGTTATGCGGAAATCCATTCTTTTTGACGAGAAATTAGATTTATTTCTCAGATGAGTAAGAACTGAAATTTATTACAAATCTCTTCTGTACATTTTTTGAGCCAAATTTCAAAACATAGAGAGCGCAGATTACGAGATTTTTATTATAAACGTTTTAACACAAGCTCCTGCATGCAATTTCTGTTATAATTTTGGAGTTTGCCACACCATGCTACAATGGTTTGTACTATAAAATAAATCAACTCTCCTCAAACTAGACACTATTTTTTAAAGAATGACGCCCTTTCTTGGTACGTGCGCTTTTGTTGCGGGGAGGCGTTTCTGAAAATCGCTTCGCGCTACGTGTGGCGCTACTAATCGCACCATGTTAAGGAGTCACGCTACCAGCCGCGCGTTTCTGTAGCGGAAGTGCGCTACACGTCTCGCGTGCGGGGGCTCCGTAAGCAATGTTCAATATTGGGGAAGGTTAGGAACTGTTGGGAAAGTTTGGGATGGTTGGGAAAAGTCAAAGAAAGTAAGAAAAAATTTGGCAAAATTGCGAAATGTTTGGAAAATTGGCCTGGGGAGCTTATTACCGTGACAACTTACAACCCTGATTCCGACTTTAATGGTCACCGTCCTGATGTCCTGAGTTACCAGTTACCATAGCAACAATAAATATATAAATAAACAAGTCGCGCGCGAATTGTCAATTTTGAATTGCTTTTTTCTCATATTTGGAATTAGTATTTAATTTTTTGAGTATTTTACGTGAATCCTGAACCGTTTAATTGTTGAATAGTGTTTAAAGTTCTAGTCGGGAGGTGGTTTTTTGCGCTACCTTTCACCAGTGATTTTTGAATTTTCAATATCATTTTTCGTATAATTTCCGTTTTGATATTGCTACGTTTAACGTTTATAGTGTTTTGTGAACATTTTATGCTTCTGTTGGTACAGTTTTCCTCAACTGGAAGGCAATTTTAATCGTCCAAGCATTGAGTAATTAACCTTCACTCAACGGTTGGCTGTAACATCATCAGAACCATCTGTTATAAAAGGTAGGATTTATAAAATACGCATTTTTGCATTATATAAGTGCGCACACCCAAGAATATTCGCCGAGGCGCGTGAGCGCGACGACGAAGCCGGGCGCGCCGCAAAAGCGCAACCGCCGAACGAACGCATCGTTCTGTTTTTGAATGTCGCGTCGGGCGTGCCGAACGCTAGGCGAGGACGCGTCGGGTTCGAGGGGCCGCAAAGACGACGGGAACAAGTCCCGCCGCGCCGCCTCGAGCCTCCCGAACGTACCCCATTACGCGTCGGCGACTCCCAACGGGTCGCGACGTCCTACCGGCCGAGAAGTGCACGCCGTCGCCGCTGCACCGGCGGCGCGGACGCTGTATCTCGGCTTTCGATCTTTCGGGTTTCTCAGGTTTACCCCCGAACGGTTTCACGTACTCTTGAACTCTCTCTTCAAAGTTCTTTTCAACTTTCCCTCGCGGTACTTGTTCGCTATCGGTCTCGTGGTCGTATTTAGCCTTAGATGGAGTTTACCACCTACTTAGGGCTGCAATCCCGAGCAACCCGACTCTAGGGAGAGATCCGACCCAACGCCGGGCGACGGTCCTACGGGCCTGGCACCCTCTGCGGGTGGTTCGGCCTCTTTCAAGAAGGACTTGGACGCGACGCTATCGCGACGTCGGGACTTGCGGATCCTCCTTAACGCCACATTTCCCGATCGGCCGGACCGCATCGAATTCTCGATCGAAACGCGAGAGCCTGCGTGCGTGCGAGAATTGATCATCCCCTTCGCGAACCGAACGGATGCCGCGCAGGACGCACCTGGCTTCCGGGAGCCCGTCCGTAATGGCGTTCGCTCTCTCTGGAAAAAAAAGACCGACAACGAAGAACGAGCGAATATGGAATGAGATCGGGGGCGAGCGAGCGAGCGAGCGCGTCTCCGTCGTCGGTTTGGTCAGTGGTTTTCGCTATTCGCGGATAAGCGACGACGACTGCCGTCCACGATTCCGTACGAAAGAACTTTAATGATCCTTCCGCAGGTTCACCTACGGAAACCTTGTTAAACAATTTTTAAGACAAAAAATTTTGCCTTTTATTTCCACTTAAATATAGGGGTTTCCGAGAGCAAAAATCATATATCGAGAACGGGGGGGGGGGGTCGATTGGGGTCCACATTCGGTGGGGCACGTCGGACGCGTCTAAGGTATAAATTTGCACCAATCGGGCCCGTAGTTTTCCAGTAATTGCCAGAAAATGGACATTTTCAGCCAAAAAATTGCGTTGCTTCCTCCACAGGTCACATTTTTCGACGGATTCGAACCGAACGAATGCCGTTCTTTCGCAAATGTATTCCGCTTGGTGCCGTTTGCTTCGATTTTCGATATAGTTAATAGTTTTTTCGAAAAAAAATTTATATCTTCGTAAGCCGGAGAGGTACAGGGTTCACATTCGTTTAACTGTTAGAGCATGTGAGACGCGTCTACCTTATAAATTTAGTTTTTGAGTTATTAAAAAAAAGATATCTAAAAAAAAGTTATTTCGATCTGCCAAATCGTATTTTTATTATAGTAGAGTACTCCTTCTTCTCCCATACCCCACCCTCCGTCTTACAGTTAAAAATCGACTTACTCGCTGCCAATGGCGAAGTATATGCACGACCCTTAAGCGCCATATATTTTTAGGGCTGGTAACTTCGGCATGTGAGTTGTTGTCCACTCCTTACCGGATTAAGACCTCCATAGTCACCGTCTTGCTATCCTTATTATGTACATGGTAAAGAAATTAGAAAGGGATTTCCAAGAGTGATAATAAAGAGGGTGGACAAAAATTGTAGTAAGGAAGAAGTTATGGAGAAAATAATAATTTGTAATAGAGAATTGATGACGAAAATTGGTGGTGCAGAAAATTTAGGTAACGAAATAAGAGAGAAATTTAGAAGAGGAGGTAAAGATTCGAGTCCTTTTGTTGATATTATATTTGAAGTTAGGCCAGAATTCAGAAAATTGATAGTTGGAAAAGAGATTTGTTTAGGTTGGAGCTCACATGTACTGGAAGATCATTTATCGGTTCTTACTTGTTATAAATGTTGGTGTTTCGGACATATGTCCAAACATTGTAAGGAAAGTGAGGAAATGTGTGGGAAAAAGGGACATAGAAGACAAAATTGTGAGTCAAGTAAACCCTGTTGTCCGATGTGCGATAAATTTAATATTTCAAGAAACAAATTAATTTTAAATACTGAACATGAGGTTTTTAGTAATTTTTGTAGTTCGCTGGAAAACCAATTAAAGGGATTAGAAAATAGAATAAATTATGGATGAAAAATTATTTATTAAATTTGGGGAAAAGTAAAGCGGGTACAAATAATTTAATATATTTAATGGATAAGTACAAAATTAATTTATGTTTAATACAAGAACCAAATGTAAGGAGAGGAGATATTATAGGATTTTCATCTAGATTTAGCGTGATGAAAGTATCAAAATTAAAAGAAGAACAAACATATAAATCATGTATTATATATCAAAATTTGGAAGCAACGTGTACATTAATAGAACAATTATCAAGTGATTTGTTTACTACTATTGAAATTAATTTTAGAAATTTATCAAAATTATTTATTGTTTCTGTTTATCTCCCTCCGGATGTTAATGAAGATGTAAATTATTGTAATTTATTTGAAGATAGGTATAATTTTAAAAATTGGAAAAAAAAATAAAATTATTATTGCTGGAGATTACAATGCTAAATCAAATTTATGGTGTAGTGATACTGAAAATACAAGAGGAGAAAGGATTTCGGAAATTTTAAATAGTAATAATTTTCATAGTGGAGGCAGAAGATGAAATTGATGATGTGGAAATTATCGATGAAGAAATAATGAATAATATAAATAGATTAGGAAAAAAAAAGGCTCCTGGTATAGATGGTATAACCAAAGAAATAGTATTAAAATCATATTATGTTTGTCCAGAAATTTGGAAAAAAATTTTTAATTTATGTTTAGAACAAGGGAAATTTCCTAAATGTTGGAAAATACAATTGGTGCGTTTTATTCCAAAATTTAAATCAAATATTGTTAACACGTTTAGGCCTATTAGTTTATTACCTATTATAGGGAAAGTTTTGGACAAAATCTTAATTTCTAGAATCGATTTTCATTTATCAAAATTAAATAGTATAAATAATAATCAATTTGGATTTTGTCAAGGAAAAAGTACAATAGATGCTATTAGTAAGGTGATTGAACATATTAAAGAAATAACAGGAAGACAAGAATATTGTACAATAATATCATTAGACATAAAAGGTGCATTTGGTAATGCTTGGCCACCTGCTATCCTACATGAAATGAGAAGGTTAAGATTACCTGGATATTTAATAAGATTATCAAAGAATTTTTTTGAAAACAGAATAGCTAAATTTGATATTACAAGTGAAATTTTAGAAAAAAAAGTTGCGGTCCGGTGTTCTGGAAAATTTTATATAATACTATATTTCGAGTCAAACTTCCTGAAAATTCTAAATTAATATCGTATGCGGATGACACAATATTGATAATAGGAGCTAAACAATATAAAACTTTAAAAGAAAGAGCTAACAAATGTTTAATAGCTTTGGAAAAATGGACAAAGGAATATAAATTAGAATTTAACGTAGAAAAATCAGAAGCTATATTTTTTGGAAAAAATAAAAACCAATTAGGACCAAGTTTCAAATTAAATAATAAATTTATTAAATGTAAAGAACATTTTAAATATTTGGGAGTTATTTTGGATAATAAATTAAATTGGAAAGAACATATAAAATATATTTCTAAAAAAATTAAAAATATTTGTGGACAAATAGTATCAGTAGTAAAAATAAATTGGGGATTGAAAAAGAAAATTATAAAAATAATTTATAAAGGTTCAATATTACCAGCAATAACATATGGTGCGGAAATATGGTATGAAGGATTAGGAGTAAGAGAAAAGAAAATGTTGATGAGTGCACAGAGAATGATTATTTTAAAAATGACAAGAGCATACAGAACAACATCAAATGAGGCTGCTTTGGTATTAGCTAATGTTAAACCGATAGATTTGGAAATTTTGGATTACAAGATTTGGTATGAGGAAATTAGGAAAGGATTCCCAAGAATAATTATAAAAAGGGTGGACAAAAATTTCAACAAAGAAATTATGGAAAAAATAACAGTATGTAATAGGGAACTTATAAACAAAATTGGAGGTGCAGAAAATTTAAATAATGAAATTAGGGAAAAATTTAGAAGAGGGGGGGAAAGAATCAAGTCCTTTTGTTGACATAATCTTTGATGAAGTTAGACTAGAATTTAGGAAAGAGATTTGCTTGGGATGGAGTTCTCATCTAGTGGAAGATCATTTATCAATCTTAACCTGTTATAAATGTTGGGGTTTTGGACACATGTCCAAACATTGCAGAGAAAAAGAAGAAATGTGTGGTAGATGCGGTAAAAAAGGACACCGAAGACAGGATTGCGAAGCTAATACACCAATGTGTGACAAGTACAACATTTCTAAAAATAAAACAATTTTGAATACAGACCATGAAGTTTTCAGCAATTTTGACAGCTCTCTAGAAAACCAATTGAAGGGGTGTGAAAAATTAGAGACAATTAATTATGGATAAAAAATTGTTTATTAAATTTGGGCAATTGAATTTGGGAAAAAGCAAGGCGGCAACAAATAATTTAGTTTATTTAATGGATAAAAACAAAATTAACATATGCTTAATACAAGAACCTCATGTATGGAGAGGTGAAGTTATTGGTTTCTCATCCAGATTTAGTGTAATGAAAGTTTCAAAATTAGACGAAGGACAAACATTTAAATCGTGCATAATATATGAAAATTTAGAAATAACATGTACATTGATTGAACAACTATCAAATGATAAATTTACAACGGTTGAAATGAATTTCAAACATCTCTCTAAATTATTTATTATTTCGATTTCGATTCTCTCCTGACGTTAACAACGATGAAAATTATGCAAAATTATTCAAAAAATTGGAAATAATAAAATTATCATTTTAATGCAAAATCTAACTTATGGTGTAGCGACACAGAAAACAAAAGAGGCGATAAACTATTAGAAATTTTGACAAGTAACGAATTGGAAACGAAAGAGCAGACCAGTTGGCAAAAGAAGCGGCAAAAAGTAATTTGGATATTACATTTAATGAAATTCTTTTATCAAAAATAATTTATATCAATACTCATTAAACTTATGGAATAGAAGATGGAAGATTTTATTTTGTCAATTCAAGTTAGAATAAATATTGTACCTGAAGACTCGCTAGCAGAACTTATAACCGGTCACGGAAATTTTGGAGAATATCTTAATAGATTTGGAAAAAGGAGAACGACTTGTGTACGTGTGGAAGAACGGATAATGTGGAGCATTTATCTTTTGACTGTCCACTTGAAATTGACAAAGTTGTGGCCGCCAAACTTTAATGACATTTCGAACTTAAGTGAAAAAATTTGGTGGTTTTGTTTGAGCGATTTTGCTATAAACAGTGTTAAATTTAAAATTGACGTTTAAAAAACTGTTCAGTGTCGTCAAGTGATTCGGAACTAAATTGCGATAGTGCGTTTGCTTTTGAAAGAACTTTAAACTTCAGTAAAATTCTATTAATTTTAATATATTATTGTTAATACATATTTTGTTTTTATATTAACAAAACTTTCAATTTATATTTCTAACATTCAGTTCAAAAAATTCTGTAACTTTAATTTTATCAAATTCAATATTTCTAAGGAAGATTGCAGTTAAATGCATAATATGTAATGTCGGTAATTAATAAATCAAATTGTTGTTGTTGTTTTTGTTGTCCTGAGACAATAATATGTATATAAAATTCCACTGGATCAAAAGTCATCAAGGAAATAAAGGTAATGAAAGAGTAGACGAATTGGCAAAAGAAGCAGCTAAACAGTGATCTTGTACCGGACTTTGAAGAAATACCAATATCTTATGTTAGAAACAAACTAAACGAAAACGGAAAAGGGAAGGTTAACTTTTAAATTTATATATGAATAACTGGGCATGGTAATTTGGGAACTGTTCCCTTTTTAAACATTTAGACTGTAAGACAAACAAATTATAAATGTAGGAACGTTACCTTTTAATAAATCATTCGTATATAAGTACAGATTTTAGGTATTTTTATTAATTTGGTTTTTTGCATTTTGTCCACACAAAATCAAATACAGAACCTTTTTTTGTTCCAATTTTTATTTGTGGCTATATAGGCAATAAAAATAAGGTATATATTATATCCCATGCTGTAGACCGATGTTATGTATTATTATTATACCTAGGTACCATCTAGCGGGTCATTATGCTCAACTTGCTATCCGAAAATTAACAAAGGAGTTGTGCCGGACATTTCGATCGTTAATGGATGGAAATTAGAAGATCCTCCCGAGGAACTGCGCGATCTCACGATCCTGGAGGAAAGAATGGTCGCGCCAAGAATTCCATTCATGCAAATAAGGACTTTGGGTTGGGATCGTAGCAAATTTCTAAAAGGACATGTCGTCAACGTTCCGACCGACATAGAAAAAATGGTGAACGTACTACCCAGACGGCCGGAAGAAATGGATATAATCCAGATCAATTTAAAGAGGAGAGAAAGAAATGGTCCGTATTTGACGGATATCGTGCGACCTTCACGAATAAAACAGGCCTTAAATTATTTAATAAAAACTCCTCAATACATTAAGGAGGGAATAAAAATTGACTGGGCAAAGTTACATGCGCCGGACGTCGACGATTCCGTTCCTTTTTTTGTCGACGTTAACGACGAACGTCGTTTAAGTTGCAGCGGGAACGTGGCCGAAAACGAAGCGAACGATGAAAACGAGGAGCAAGAGACGGAAGTTCACACGATGCTGTATAACAACAACGCCGCATCTACGGTGGCGGAGGCGACGGCTACATTTATCGCGGGCGAGGGCAATAAGCCATTGTCCTTCATTAAAGACAAATTTGTAGAGGAGTTATCCTTCCCGACGATCTATCATGGGCGTCCTCGGCCGTCACCGACCAATCGAAACAATTTAAGAAAAGCGTCCTTTTCTTCAATTATAAAATTTGAGTTGTTGTATTATAAAAGACATTGTCGCCGACCGGACAAACTCTTTTTCGACTTCAAGTTGAAACAAACACTGGAGATGTTCGACAGCATCAGCTTGTGCGTTCGACAAAAGCGCATCGGAAATAGTTCGATTCATGTGAGGGATCTGTTGGACGCAACCGCCGTTAGAGAACTGGTGAAGGTAGACAACGCGTTCTCCTTCATGAAGAACATGAGGAGTTCGCCGGCGTTTTGGCACGAGGAGCGGCAAAAATTATTCGCAATGATTCGCCAACTGGGTGTTCCAACCTTTTTTATTACGTTGTCGTCGGCGGACGGGAAGTGGGTCGAACTCATTTCCATTCTCGGAAAGATACTCTACGGCAAGAACTACAGCGACGAAGACGTATTCAACATGAGTTCCGCGAATAAAATGAAATTGGTACGCGAAGACCCCGTTACAGTGGTGAGGTACTTTGATAATAGGGTTAGATTAATGTTCTCCCTGATGCGGCAAAAAGGCGCGGCAAATCGGATCTTTCCCGATCATGAAGTTATCCACCACTATTATCGAGTAGAATTTCAACACAGGGGTGCCCCTCACTTACACTCCGTCGTGTACTTGAAAAACGCGCCCTTATTCGACGGGACGAATACAACAGAATGCGAAACATTTATCGACAAATTTGTCAGCGCATCGAGGTCGAACGTGCATATATCTGATTTAATCAAATACCAAGTGCACACACACACTCCTATTCGTGCGGCAAAATTCAACAACGGCAACAGCAGCAAGAGAAGGCGCGTTGTAGGTAAGTAGCGATCCTCCATTTTCTTAATATTAACGTATTAAATTCAATGTTAATTATAACCGTTGGTAGTAGCGTTAGTTAATATTATCGTATCGTTGCTGCAGATATGGAATTCCCTTTTTTCCCCATAAGAGGCACCAGAATCCTGGGACCGATCGTGTCGAGGGAGGACAACGACGTCGACGACGATTCGGCGATAAATAGGGAGCAAGCGAAGCGGGACCTCAAGATCGTTCGGGAATATCTCGACGGTAGAAGTGCGGCGACCGAAGAGGACGACGTTTCCTTCGACGATCTACTTTTTAAGCTGTCCCTGTCGGAAAGACGATATATTGATGCAATACGATCGGACCTTACCAAATATAAGGTTTTTTTAAAGCGGGACGTTGTCGATTCGTTCGTGAATCCTTATAATCCGAACATTTTGGAATTGCACAAGGCCAACATGGATATCCAATTCATCGTGGATCCTTACAATTGTGTCTCGTATATCGTAAATTACATCAACAAATCGGACAGGGGCTTATCCAAGTTGATGGTCGAGGCGCAGGCCCATATAAGAAATGGAGACCTAAACACGAAAGAAAAACTCCGTCGATTGGGAAACGTTTTCCTCGGCAGCTGCGAGGTTTCCGCGCAAGAAGCCGCATATCACACCGTCGGGCTGCGATTAACGAATTGTAGCGTCGGCCACGTGTTCGTGAACACATTTCCTCCCGAGCAGCGCGTAAAAATGGCCAAGTCGAAAGCGCATCTTCGCTCCATGGACGGTGCGTGCGGAGACGTGTTCGTCAAGGGCATGTTGGAGCACTACGTCCAAAGGCCGGACGTCTTGGAGGAACTCACTCTAGCCCGTTTCGCAACTGAATACTCTTATTTCAATTTCACGCGAAACAAAACCAATCCGCCAGCGGACGCACACGTTCTGAAGGACAAAAGCGGCTATGTACGCAAGTTAAGTAACGACACAAGAAAAATATTGAGATTCAGGGGATATCGCTTTCTGTCCGATCCCGACAATTTTCATCGGGAGAATCTAATGTTATTTGTGCCTTGGCGAAACGAAGAACGCGATTTGCTGCACACCTCCGAACGTTTAAAAGGCGATTATGTTCGTAACGCCGAACGCATCAAGATAGAACGTCCGATTTTCGTCAGCGCGGAACAGGACGATTACGAACGTTTGGCGGAAGACGTTCGTAAACGTCAATCGTCGGATGTCGAACGTGCGGACGTGGAGGAGGAGTTGCCACAAGACGCCGTGTATTACGGAGGGGATGCGGTCCCAGACGACCACGACCCACTGGAGGGACTCTCCGATTACACTGCCGCTGACCAACAAAGTGGAGCTGAAACTTGCCGCAACGAACGCCGGCGTAGACGTTCATTTCAAAAAGCCGAACGCTTTCGACAAACATAAACTTTACGACTTGTCAAGGTAAATGTTGTAATCGTAATACTAATAATATAACGTAATAAGTTGAGTTTCGGTTACCTACACGTTATACAATTTCAAAGCACAAAACGTGAATTGACTTACGAAAACAATATTACGCGGATAAACGATACACATTTTTTATTTCTTACACACAGTTCGCTGAACCGCAAGTAACACCTGCTGTTGAGTCAGTTTATCCAGGCGGTGAGTTCCGAGGGCGACGGTTTCTACGCGTTTGTTGCGGGAGGAGCAGGTAACGAGACGGCCGTAATAATATTTTTACTTTTATTATATTACTTCAATCTGACGTAGGTGTTGGTAAAAGCTACCTCATCAAAACTTTGGAAATGGCTGCCATTAATCAAACAATGCGAAGCCGACGTAGAATTACGGCCTGCGGCGGCGCCACGGGTATGTTACATTATATTAAGTTCGTTTAGAACAACATTTTTCTAAAGTTATATTTTTTTAGACAAACGATTCGTGTTGGTTTGCGCTCCTACCGGAAAAGCGGCGTACAATATCTACGGCTCCACACTGCACAGTACTTTACATCTGCCCGTTAACCAGTTGGTTGGACCGCTGGTACCGTTGAGCGCCAACGTGCTCAATACTGTGCAGTGTGAGTTGCGGCATGTCAAACTTAATCATCGACGAAATTTCTATGGTCGGAGGAAAAATGTTGAATAACATCGGATGAATACAACAAATCTTCGGCAACGACAGAGATTTTGGAGGAGTGTCAGTAGTTGCGTTCGGCGATCTGCGCCAGCTGCCTCCGGTCGGGGACGGCTATCTTTTTCACACGCCGACATAGTCGACAATTTTCTGTGGCGTCGTTTTAAGTATGTGTGTTACGAGTCATCCGAATGAGGGTAACTGATGTGTTATCCGTTTTAACAAACGTCAATTAATGAATCGTCTAGATATCCCAAAAAAGGCAAACTTATTCTTATTTGTGGACGTATAGCAAATAATGAAGAGGATTTAAAGCTTCCCGTACTACGCGGTTACTATAAATCTGCTCTTTACGCAATCCGAGTGGTGTTCATACGACTTTAGTTTACCCTGAGATTCACATACCCACGTGACCACCCATTTTATATTGAAAGCATAGGGCGAATAACAGTCCATGTACTATATGGTCTAAGCATCGTGCACACTGCACAGGTGTATTGTATGCGTCTCTCACCCTCATTTGCCAAGTTTTTTTAATTATTGTGTTGTTAATTTTCTTTCAAGATATTTAATTATTGGTTACCTATAAGTATAAATTAAACTGGTAGCGTACCATGTATGTGTGTACCCACGAACCTTGTGCTTCATTTTAGACTGTTCATGATCCAAATATTACTTGAAAGGTGCTTTTGCTGTTTCTTTTAGGTAAGTACACGAATCAAGAATACACATAGGAGGAGTTCAGTCACAAACACACGTACAGAAGAATTTTATATACAAAGATAATTATGCATGTAAATCCTTTCATTCCATAAGTAAAACGGTGGTTTTATGAGTACCTAAACATATTGTTGAGAATGGATTCTACTACCCGTAAAAACCACTCTTATTCAATAAAAATACGCTTCTTGACTTGATCTTTGTATTATATTTTTATTATTCTGACATTACATTATTTACTTCGCAACTCGCTTATCAACAAATTATGATGATCCTTAGCAACAAATAATGAACAATAAGGATCTTCTATTGTGTTACCACACATATATACCAAGCGTCGACGATCCTACATATGCACTGGCCACTGTGTTAACGTCCAAATTAAGTTTTTTTGCTTTTAGAATTATTACAGTAGTACATGCGGATTGTGTGTGGGAGGGGCTTATTGCGGGCTCAAGTACGTCACATCGGCAGAGCGTTTTATTGGTTGTATGGAAGTGAGGCAACCGTTTAGTATACGGACCGTGGTAAGTTCCCCCATGCAACAAATCAAAAGCTGGGGAGTAGAGTAATTAATTGAGTAATTAAATTCACTCAACGGTAATACTTAGTTATTGTAGTTACTAGGAAATGGAATCTGCACAATATTCAATTAAAATAAAGGTATTCATAAAAATATGAGATACACCCATTGAGTTAGTTTTCTAACTCAATGGATACACCAAAGCTCCTAACTCGATAAAAAGGTTGCATATAATTTCAACAGATGGCGCTGCCGACTCGCACGTCAAATTTTTGCGTCACTTCATAGAAAATTCTCTTTGTCAAGTGCTGCAGTACTACCGGCATGGTAAATTTCAAGAGCCGCCAATTTCGACAAAATACTGTTGATTGACTAGCGGCATTCTTGGTTTTTCACCATCTGTTATTACAAATTACCAAAATTCCGCCGAAAAGCTACTGCCAACCCAGAGGGTGGCTACCGAGGGTAAGTAAATTACGCTCACGTTTTCGTTAATAATTGTTTGTGATCTTTGTACCCTAATGCTAATTAGATGACGTTTGAATGCTACGTATACGAAAAAGTATCCTGTATTGAACAGCTATCAGATTTGGCTTAACCCCAAAATTTCCATGCTGTATGACTCATAAGATATTTTGTTACATAATTTGGGGTAATTTACTCATTGTGATTTCCAATTAATCAATTTTTCAATCCTTTACTTTGGTCACTTATGGTCAAACATTATGATTTGGTTGCGATTGAACGTTCAGGCTTGCTCTACTTCATAGAAGAAAGCTAAAGTAGAAATATTTAGGGATAAGTAGGTCATAAAACATTATGCAAATTTGTAATCGAGTCATTTAAGTACCTCTGTACAGCAAATTATGTAAACCTTACGAAAGTGCTGTGGTCAGGTGCCAAGAATTGATATTATCCTAATAACATTGTTACACTTGACCTTCAATTTGAAGGCACTGGGAAATGTTCACATCTTCTGATGCTTGAAATCAAAGGCAGATTACTATATTTGTGGTACATGACTGGGAAAAATACAGTCCTTCAGAAAGCAAAAATAAAATAACATATTTTAAAATGTGTTTTTTTAACATTTGCCATATTGTTACATAAATTGTCAATGCGATTAAATGTAAAGACTCCTCAATTGTACACAACAATAATAGGGAATTTTTCAAAGGAAATTTCCTATATCGATGGTTTTGTCCGTCTGTTCCTCACCAAGAACGAAAAGACACAGTGATGTCAAACCTTCGCCAAATGATTTCTAGGAATTCAAGGATTGGTGCTATTGAATATGAGCTGGAGTAAAAGACTCCTAATGTGAGCTGAGTGTCAAAAAATTCCCCTTTCGAAAATCGTATGCAATTCTTCGTATCTTGTTTAAGTTTACCACAGTAATTATCAAATTTTCTTTAGCTCTTCTCAAGCTTTCTTGACAAGTTGCTTTCAAATGCTTATATAGTATCCTCTTATTTAAAAAAAAATATTTTCGCGTCTTTGCCTCTTAAAGTTGTCATATGTTCACCTGCCTCTTACTACTATCAAATTAACTGCTCTCTTTTAATCTTCTCTCAAACGCTTCTAATTTGATAATTAGAAGCGAACTGATGTTCTCTGCTTCGAAGGTCGTAGTGCTCTTCTTCCACCCAGTTCAATATTCTACCTTCCTGTTTGTTGCTACATACTTCCTTCTTATAGTCTTTTCTCTCAACATATGACAATTTCTCTTTCCCCTACTCTGTCTCATTCCACACCCTGTCTTTCCAATTACAACACCTAGTATCACAAATTAGGAAAGTGCTATTCTTTTCATTATTTTAATCGAGCTTGTTTTTAAGCATTCTGCACACCTTTTTATATGATGGTTTTGCCATTCTAGTTCTACTGGAATATCATTCACACCTGCAGCCTTGCCATTTTTACTGCCGGTTATACTGGAGGTTGATGCGAACTTACTTATATCAAGTGAAACACCCTCTATATTATTTCATTTGTAAATTCTATGTAAAATGTATGACTTTATGGTTCAGCTTCAGTGCTAGAGCGTTGGGCTATAAATCCGGAGGTCGGGTGTTCGAACCTGGGTTGAGGTGAATTTTTCATCTGTGCGGAGGTGGGAATTACCTTAGACCAGTTTTGAGCATTCTGCCGGCTACTCCGAATTAGGTTTTCCTGCAGTTTTCCTTATTCGTAAGGTAAGTACAGGAGTAGTATAGAACAACTTAAGACCTTCTGCAGAGGCACCTCTAAAAATTATTTGGGTCACTCTGTAATTGGGCGCAAGCCTGTGGAGGGCCCAGAACAAGAGAGGGATAATAAATAAATAAAATGATCGGAATATTTTTCTATACCTAAATTTGGTCGTTTTTAACATTTTAATTTTTGTCAAAAATGACATTTGCATCATAATTGCCATTTTTTCAATATGTTAGCTGTGTATCTTTTAGCTTATTATCAAAAAACAAGTTATAAACACGAAGATCACTTAAATTATCTGTTAATAATTTATGGTGAAGAATTTCGGAATATGCTACTTTATACAAAGTTACCCTTATTGTTTGTTCACGGTTATAAAAATAAGGGGTTTCCATTAAAAAAAAATGGCGATGTTTTGAATTCAATTCAATGTTTTTAAACTCCCTATATCAACACAGTCCACTAAAGCGGGACCTCTACTAAAAGAAAACCAGCCCCAATTAAATAACAGCAGTTTTCGAAAATTGGCAATTATCCAAACGTCATTTTTGACAAAAATGAAACTATGTATGTCAAAATCTGCTACGACAATATTCATACAATGAATATAGAATTTTACATAGAATGTAAAATAAATAATGTGTAGGGTGTTCTATTTAAAATAAGCCAATTGGCATCAACTATCAGTTAACTGAAAACGCCACCATCTTTTATGATTAGTACCTATCCTGTCAAACTTTCAAAATATTTTGAGGTCTAGATAGCAGACATCGTGGGACACCCCATATTTGTAATTTAACTAACAATTTTACGTGATTTTCAACTAGTTATTATTGAATTATCTCGAAAATTAGGCTGTACCTATAATTTATCAGCATCAACGCAGTAGTTTTCTATTTTAATTTTTTTAACGCACAAAGTGTGAAATATACAGGGTGTTCCATATGAATTGAGATGTCGATTCAAATTTTGTATCAAACGTAAAATTTTCCCAGGTTCTCTTGTTACATTTATTTGTGAAGACTCCAAAACTCCCATGTTTGATAGTTTTTTTAAAGGTTTTTTGTTTGGTAATACTAAAACAACGAGAAAGATAATGTTCGCTGGCATCAGAAAATGTGTGTAAGTATGAAACAAAAACACGCACACCGTGGGTGAACACACACGATATGTTCATTAAAAAAACCGGTGTTTTTCAGCACTTATACGTTACAACAGAACAATATCATTATTGAAAACAATTGATTTGAAGTGAATGCTGGAATGATACAATGATAAATATTTTCGTTGCCTAATATTATTTTTTATTGGCGTGTCCACTTTGTACTTGGGGTAGAGGTGGTTTTACAAAAAAATTGCTTCATCGTCTGCCGATCACTTCGTTATCTTGGAACAGCAGCGCATTATCGGAACTCACGCGACATTCTTATCATTTGCTTTGTAAGGTTATCTAAATTGAAAGTCACACTTCGCAGAATTGAAACTTTGTAATCAAACCTATTTGGGTGAACTACTATTACGCTCGTTATATTATATGGGACATTTGATTGTATGACATTGACCTAATCGGACTTTACATTTTGGTCTTATCGTCAAAGCCAAATAGATCAATTCTATTCACCAAACTGCTGCTTAAAAAAGCTTGTTTTATGTAGAACTATTGCATTTTTATATCAAGAAACCGGAAGTATACAAATTGATAAATAATGTCGAATAAATGATCGTAATGTGTTATTTTCTTAAAGCTCAATTGTTTTAGTAGTACGAGTAGTAGCACTAGAACTAGACTGATGAACATCCTGTGAAGTACGAACTTTGTTATTCAGTTTTCAGATCAATGTTTAAACAAAACGTGTCTTTCTCTTCTGATTTTTAATACTGGCAAACGACATTAGTTGAGAGTACGCAAAACAAGCTTTTTTAATTTCAGATTCACACACGGACGATTCACGCCAAAATTTGAAAGAATGGCGAAAACTGAAAATGATAAATCGAAGGGACAAAGTAATTTCTTCATTTCAAAAAATAAGTCTAAAGCTCATCGGCAATTGACGTCTAGTTCCGGAAATTTTTTTGTTACGCCTTCGGAAAAGACTGATGTTACGAAACGACACCAGCCAACCGAAAACGCCACAAAATCGAAAAAACCGTTCGACAAAAAGAAATGGCGCATAAAAAAGTACAGTAAAAAATATAAACTCGAGCAGTGGGAAAATCAAAGGAAAAAGCGGGTGCTAGAGGGATATTACCGAGAGATGAAAGAAGAAGAGCCGAAGTTCGACGTTCAAAAAATTTACGAAAAGTACGGCGATGAAGAGGGCGAAAATGACAATAATCTCAACAAAGATTTATTAGTACCAAGTAGTAGTGGTACTGGGTCGCCGCGTGGTAAGAAGAGCATTGCTTTCAAGAAGGCCAAATCCGAATTTCAAAGGATTCAAGATGAGAAAAAGCGTAAGCAAGAGGAAATTATAAAAAATAAATTGGAACGCGCCGAAGCTCTAAAGCAGTACAAAGCGAAAAAATTAGAGAAGTACAAGAAATTGAACAAAAAAACTAAAAAAGGACAGCCTGTTATGAAGTATAGAATGGAAATGCTTTTGGAACAAATCCAAAAATCTATGTCTTAATTCGTTAATTGTAATTATTTATTAAACAATTCAAATTAAACATATTTTGTTTCGCCTCTTCTGAAAAATCTTAGTGTATTTTTTCTAATATCATTTTTTTTGCTGACAACGATGTACGATATTCTATAGGAGTCTTATTTTTTTCAGTGGAAATTTTACTTTGAACGTGCTTTTGTTTGTATTGTATCAAGTTACTCATTGATTGGTATTAAATAGATTATTCTAAAAAATCTTTGTACAGGTCCGTAATAGGAATTTTTTTAATTAAGCCCGAAAAAAAAAGGCTGAACTTCAACGAAACCGCATAAAGTGTTATTAGATTAGATGATTGAAGTCCGATTAAAAAGGGATATCTTATTTAAAAAAATAAAATTGATGAGGCTTTCGCAACAACGAAACATGGCATGAAAAAAATTAACAACTGCACTTTAAGGAGCGGTAAAAGTTACTGTGGAGAAGTATCATTGGTTGTGCTCTAGGTCAAATATTAACGCCAGAAAAAATAGTTCGCAAAATCGAAAAGTCCGATTTTTAAAAATATTTCAAAAACCATTCTCCACAATTACCAGATTTCTAAACGCTATCTTAGACCTTAGATTGCGCAACTTTTCTCCCACTTAACCGAGTTTGTAACTTACCGTTTCCAGAATATATATAGTGGCCCTCCTTATCTCGGAGAGAGTGTATGTATACTAAAACATTTTCAACAGAATTCAGATCATGTTTTTGAACATCGTACAGGGTGGTTCAAATTCGTGGCTCACCATTGGGATCTCCTAACCGGTGAGAGGTACAGCATAGGGTAAAGAAATGCGTATCACCGAAAAACTGAAAATGTCAAATTTCGTGTTCGTTTTCTCTAGCTTAAACGATCGGAAATGGACGGTTCCCGTTAGCATCTTCTATGGGCACTTTTATAGGAGAATCTGAATCTTTTATTAGAATTTCCATAGCACGCTAGATGTAGAAGCTACCGGTACTACTGTCTTATTTCTAATGAGCGCCACATTGGACTTTTACGGAATGAGATATGGGACAAAAAAATCAATTAATTTGAATGCATCGCCATCATAGGCATGTTGATTCAGTAATATCCAGTTAATCGTGGATGATTTGTTGAAAAATGAATGCATAACTTCTGATTTTTAAATTTTTCGTGTTGATGTAAGTATAGTGTGCGACATGTCATTATTTGTCCTTTTAGCGCATTTTTTTTCATTTATCTGTAAAAAGGTAGCTTTTAATCTTACTGTATAGCAGGCTGGTTGGGAGCAAATGCGGGCCCCTAGAAGAACGCTTGTAGAAAGACGAGGAGTGCACATGTACCTACCGTGTTTTATTTCGTCAATACTAGGTACCTACTTATTTTGTAACATTCGGGATTCGCTACCATAATTTTTAGTGGTAGTTAAAATATTGACAAATTATTAATCCAGTTGCGAACAATTTACGAACCATTGGTTGCTTAATGATCTGTTACGTGATATTACTTCGTAATAAATTTCATTTTGGAAATTGTCCTATTGTCCGAAATTAGTCATGAATGTGAGGTAGATGCAATGCCCATCTGCCCCCAAGCATATACCATCAGTATCCCATTTGCCTAAGACGACTTTGATTGATTGTGTGTGACAGAAAGATAATTTTTTGAACGCGGTACACAAAAGTGAATGGTTACTGAAAATTTATAATAATGATGTTGTCGCTCTAACGTGTCGCATGGTTAATTATGCAATCGTATTGCTAAAAAAATGATCAAACAGTCGCGTGTTGCCAGTAGATCAAAAATAACGCCAAAAATTTAAGGTAAGTCTGTGCTTCTTTTCGTTTTTTGGTTTCTGAGTGAAAGATACTTATTTTATTCTGCTTCTGGAAATCGGATATAAAAAAGTGGTAGAAGAATTGATGCGTCTTTAAACAATTGTTATGAGTCTTTTTCCAAAGTGATCTATTTGATTCTTGCTGTCGCGTCGGTATCTTAATTATTAGAAGAGGTAAAAAAGTATCACTTTTTTGTTTTGCCGATATTTGAGGAAATCGAAAAGTTAGGATTTTCTTTTTTTGTAACACCTTCACGGCACACCTTTAATTCTTATTGTTTGAACTGCTAGATTATAAAGACAAATCTTTGGGTGGCAAAAAACAACTCCAAATTTTTCTCTTAAAATTGTTTGCTTTTTCAGTGCCATCAACTTACCATATGTAAATAGAATCAGTGAATGCGGTGTAAGTAGGTTGAGGTGAATTCTCGTACACGATAGTTAATTTTTCTATAAGATTTTTCCATCCACTTATTTTGTTAGCTATAAAAAGTTCTTTTCAGACTCAATGTATCCTACGTCCAAGAAAGCGTTCTCCAGTGGAAATTCTGATGCCAGTACCTCGAAACACTCTTCCAAATTTATTCTTAATCAAGATTCATTTTTTACCGTTCGGGAAATAACTGATCATCAGCATACCAAGTCGTTCACATCTCTCAATTTGTTTGTGAAAGTCAGAGCATAAAGAGGCGTGGCTAAAGGATTCCTTTTGAGTAACTCTCTTGACTGCACTTTTTTGTAGCATGTCCCCTGCATGTGTTGTACAGAAGCCTTACGGACCTAGGCCAATGAATTGGGGGCATTCTTCGCATCCACAAGAAACACTCCTCATTTTGAACCTGGTAGATAATTTTTTGTTGAAATAGCATATGACTCCTTTTTTGTTGATATTATTGTGCAGCCATTGAACGGCTTCTCTCAACTTGCCTAGAATCAGACTGTTGCAACTTATGCAACGTGATCATCAGTAGATGTACGACTGATAGGTGTTCTGATGCCTCTACACAATGGAATGTATGCGGCAAATCCACGATCTAAAAGCTTACTTAACCATATGTTGTCGTAGAATCAAACCATTAAAAATTGGTATAATGTATGTCTTTCTCAGCCATTGATTATATTATTCAATATGGAAAAGTATAATTTATTACCCAATGATTTAACGTTTTACTTATGCATAGTCTGGCAAAATAGGGGATTTACAGTACATATTCAATAAATAAATCAAAAATTCTTAAAAAGTGTACTAATTGAATGTAAAATGGAGTGAAGTGTAGGTCCTGATATCCACGAATGATAATTGATAAATTGCAGAGCGAAGTGTGTGATACAAACAAAGTCCTATCTATTGAGTAGTAAGCACTATTTGAAACAATAATTATTGTGAAATTGTCTCCAAGGAGCATGTGTTATTTTATTACTTAACAGCATAAGTTTGTAAAATAGTTATCGATTACAAATAAATCCTGTCCGAATAATTGAAATCTTATGTTTATGTGTCATTAACCAATTCAAAATGTGCTCCTTAATTCAAAATCCGCTCTTGGTTTCAGTATAAATTTTACCAAATCAAAATCTGCGATTAGAATTTTTTATCAGTTTTCATGACGCGGAAATTATAAGCAAGAACACAAGGTCTCTTACTTTTTTACCACGTGCATAAAATGATTTCACAATGTATGAAATCGTCACCCAGTTTTGTATCGGCGCAATCGATACCTTCTCCAACCAATTGCCATTTCCTATCGCTTGATTAACGGCGCTCTTTAGACTTTATCGCGGTAATGAAATTAAGCAACGATGGGATTTTCAAAATATGTTTACTTAGTGTAATCCAATTGAGTCTTGATCGCTAACTAATTCTATCTAGTTCTTAGCAGTTCCTGTTAAACCCGGATGGTTTTTTTGTCATCGGGAATGGCTAATTTTCGGTCTTCCATATTCGCAAACGATTTAAGTTGAGATTGACTCGATACTTGTAGGAGGGAGAATGACGCCAAGCGCTTATTAAACTCTATCTTAAGCAGCTTTAGTGGATGAATGAACTATCGATTGTTGGTAGTTATGGCCCTTTGCGGCTTGTACGCTATTTTTTCATTACAATCTGTGTCCTGAAAATGGGGATTTTTATAAAAATAATTAGATACAAATTGCGCGTTCATAATGCGCCCATTTTTTTTAGAAATTTGGCCATTTGCTCAACCTTTCTCCGATAATCTTTTACAACGTCTCATTGCGCGTGAATATCTTCTACAAAAAAAAACCGCTTCACTTGTAAAACGAGAACTGGTTTAAGTACAAAATGTGATAACTCAAAATCAACTTTTTTGGGTCAAATTACGTTTTATCACCAAAACAGGGCAACTATTGCATGTAGATAACGATCGTAACCGTTGCTCGTTTTCAATAAATATCCTCAAATATGGGGAAATTGGAAGTATAGGTACGTACTCCATCGTCCATAATCTTATCAATATCAGTGATTGTTTAAAAGCCAATCACAATGTAAACCGTTTTATCGATAGCGTAAAGTAGATTGTGGCAGATATTGATTCAAGACCTATAATCGTGGATATATTTTGCTTGCATATTCATTCCTTTATGGTAAAATTAGGCACCTGTTTTGTGTTGAATCAGTAGACCATAACAACAATATTGACGGATGCACGTGTTTTGAAATTGCGAAAACAAACAAACATTTTGAATGTACGTACTTTCAAAAACATCTAAATCAAGTGCTATGTCGTCAGAAGCGTTGAAAAAGCGTATGTTTTTGAAGCCACTAGTTTCAGGTATTGAGTTTATTAATAATGTTAGCTGCTGCCTTTAAATATTGTTTATAACTAAAGAAATATATTTTTAAAAAACGTTTTAGTAGGAATTAGGAAAGTACTCCATGCGACGAGCTACCTAAGCGCGTTTTTGTGGGACGGATCGAGGTTTATCAGCAAACTCATTTTATAAATATAATCTGCATGCAAAGAATTGTTACACTAAGCTAATATTTCAAATCCGAGCATTCTACGATGATTCCTATGAGAGCTATACTCAAACTTTTATTTCAGAAAACAAATGAATAGGTAACGAAAAACAATTGATTTTTTGAAATAGCAATGCACACTATCATTAGGCCCATTTGATAGAGATTGTTTTTCTTTCATATACATAATGGACACCCTGTATAAGCGATACTTTTTTTTTCAAAATATTCATTAGTAAGCGCCCTAGACTAAAAACACTCATTATAAACCTACCAAATCTACGTACAGAGACATTGGAACAAGCGACAATAGTCTTCTAATCTGCGCAACGTTGTGGCGTCTTTTTTCAATGATCTATACAGGGTGAGCTTTTTTTCATTTCCACAATAGGGATCTCGCAAACCGTATGGGATACTTCCCTGTAACATTTCCTTAACTGTGTTTCTCGTTTATATTTCTAAAAACAAGGAGTGGGGTAAATTCGGCTCATAAAACATTTTTTCCGCATTTATACCCCTAGTTACCATAGCCGTACTGCTTTAATAAGTAAGACACATTACTCCATGTTAACTGTAAAAGTTTTCAATTCACCCTTAAGATAACTCAAAGGTTAGACAAATAAATAAGCAGAAAAAACCTATTTTTTATTATTTTATTTTATAGCAAATGTTAAATTGACATTTTAATACCTACTTAGGTTTGAATGAGTAGGCTGAGCCGTTCTTTAACCGTAAGGATAAATAAAGTGAACACTTTAACCGTAAGGGCACTGAGGGTAGAGTGGCTGCGCTACTCGTGAATTAACATCTTTCACTCAATGGTTAAAATACCCCTTTATCGTCTTGTATAATAAATAACTAGTTCTCTGTAGGTTATCGCTAATAAAAACGTTTCGCCTGCTTATTTATTTGTCCAGGCAAGTATGGAGGTATTCGTAAAAAAAGATCCCTTATGAGTTTTTAACAGTTTTTAGTAACCTGTAACTTTGAACCCCTTTAATTTTTACGAATTGTAAATATTTTCGTATCGCCCAATGCACTTTTCTTCCGTCTTCTTAAACGTCTATAGAATGAGCAGGCTAGGTTTGTTGACCCATCTTGATAACTCATCGATGTTTATAACAAAGGTCTCGACACGCGATAATATTAATAATTTTTTATTCGTATTTCGCAAATTGTCGCTTCTTATGCGGAAAACGTAAACGTTTCGTTTGAGAACTTCGCTTTTGCGGAAATCGATTATTAAGAACCAAAAATTATACTTCTTGCTTGAATACAGTCCGTTTTACAGGTTGATTTCTTCTTCATAGCCGCCGCACGATAGTCCCATCGGTTAAAAAATACTAGACACGTGGTACCTATGGTAATTTTGATTCTGCTTCAACATTTGTCATATTGTTTAATTGGAGTTTCTTGTTCCATTATCGTCAATATCTCGATTTTCCCTTAATTGCACAATTGTAAATCTTGTTGCATTAATGATAATCACTTTCATTGGCACAAAATAACAATATTATTGGATTTTTGCTAATAGCTTGCTTGTTGACTTATTTTCGGATAAGTAATTAGGTCGGGGATCTTTTCGATGAAAGTTCTACGCAATTAGATAGTAGGTATACGAATGCCGCTAATGACCAGACTGGAAAAACCAATTTTTCTATGTCATTTTTAGTATTTTTGGGATCTTTTTCGTACGTTGTTCAAAAGGACGAACTACCAGTACATATTATATCGCATAAAAATGTTAAATAACTGGATAACATTTTTAATTGATTGATTCCACTCCGGAGATCGATTTTTTGTTTCTAAATCTGCTAAACATTGCTTCTTTATGTACCGAGTAACATTAGCAAAGTTTTCTTAGATTTGTTTTCCAATTATCACATCATGTTATTAATTGGGAACTTCAAAGCACGTCATCATATCTAAAGTGAAATGCAAAAAAAAAGAAATTAACACAATTTTTGATTGAAAAAGTGGTCCTTTTCACTTTGCACTCAAAATTGTGAACATGATTGACTGGGAATTGCTAAAAACTTGAAGGTTTTTGCTAATGCCGGTCCAGCTCCAAGTTACGTCATTTCAATTGAAAATAATAGATAAAACCTAATTTGTCTTTAATGACGGCCGATTATCGTTCCGATTATTGCAGTGACGTCAAAATACGATTTGCGGGAGTCCATTTTGAGAACCATCGGCGGTAAGATAAGGCATTATTTACTGGTGGGGAAGACTGTATAAAACGCTCTGATCTAGAAGTTATTTTGAACGATCGAATTTTTGTCGTAATAGGAGTATAAACACGTTGGGCTTCGTGTAGCCGCCACCTTGCCAACCGGTTTTCCACCAGAGCGCGTTTTTTGAAATTTCGTTTTACTCGTTTTTACAAGTTTCGAAAATTACTTCATTCGATTTACCTGCAAGTTTCGCGGCCGGTTGGTGGGCTGAAACTTCCTGCGGTTTTTTCATGTTTGATTGTTGCCAAGTAGAAAATTCCTCCTCTCAATTTGAGGTGAGTTTTTTTTTCATGTATTTTTATCATGTTTACACAATTGACCGATGCCATTATCAATGTTGAATGAGCTGATCACAGTTCAAGCTGCAGTCGACTAGTATCTTATGCATTTGTAAATGGAATACACGTGCCTGTCGCTTCTCTATTTTTTCATTCTTTTTATACCAGTGTGGCATCTTCGTTATTAATACCAGGTGAATTATCGATGTCATAAATGTTACGTATATCTACTTCACACATTTTGAACTCACGCACTTTGGCTTTTGATTATCTGTTCATTTTCTTCATCCACTTTTTTGCATTATTAGAAGATAGTTGGGCATGCTGTATAGCTACATAAGATTGACCTTCATTGTCAATTATCCATGAAAACCTTCATCAGTGCTTATTAATATGCAAGTTAATCATGGCAAGATATGAAATTTGCTTTGTTTATATCGATAGAGTTCCCATCTATGACAGTTACAAATAACATAGATGGTCTAGCCCTTGAATCAACTAAAATGCCTTCAGCTGGGATGTTATTTATTAATAGTCTTTATTTATTTGATATAAAAAATCATATGGCCAAATAGAACCATTTTTGACCTAATCAATTTTTTTGAAATTTTTGAAAAAACATCTCTTTCACACATTAAATTGTTTTTTACAAGGCAAACTGTATTGATTAAATAATTTGTGTCCCTAGATTGTTGCACACATTAAATCGTGACTGAACTATATATGTTAACATTTCATCATTTTGAGGCACGAGGAAGCAATTACTCTCTGTAAGCGCTTGTTAGTTTCAATACCGGATTTTTTTTTATAAGCTACATTTTTTACTAAGAACGATTTTTTCAATAAAATACAAGTCTAGGAGATCAAACGCCTTTTAGAGTGTTTGAAAGCTTTCTAGGCGCTAGTTTTTCCATAGCAGCATAGTTATCATTTCTAAGATCTCTATCCCTTTGCGTATCATCCCGTCATTTTCAAACTTTTCTAAGATCTATTAGATCTTTGCAAAAAAACTAGAAAATTTTGGTCTTGATGTACTTAAAGGGCGGTCCATACTTTTCTACAATAGATTTTACATTTTAAACACTTCCTGTTTTTAGCATAAGCAGTGTGGTTTGCATAATCATCTGTCTATCCATTTGACTTTGTCCCAAAAACTGTCTGAGATCATAATTATTTGTTTATTAAATTATATTAACCAACAACGTCTAATATTGATATTTTTTTCAGGGTTGTGCTGAGCGGCGACTGATCCCCGCCGTTCGAGTAACATATTTGCCATACAACTATTGTTTGTACCTTGACGGAGAACCTCCTTGGAGCTGCTAGCTCCCCTAAGTATTGAGTAACCCCTTTTGTATTTTATACACACACGCTGCACTACCCTGAGCAAGAGCTGCCTCGTAAGTGAAACCCTAACTGTTCCCCTTGTTACCTAGTTAACGCTAATTTTTTCTTACAGTTTGCTTTTCGCACATTTTTTAATTGTATTTAACAATACTACATTTTTTAATCGAGAAACCATGAAGATCAGCACAGTAGAAGACGAACGCGTCCACGTTCTAAACAATAATTCCAACGTATGGTCCATAATTCGTGACATAGTCGATACCGGCACTCAAGAAGACGCATTTTACATTTGCGACATCGGCGACATTGTGCAAAAACACAAAATCTGGAAGTCTGCATTTCCGCGTGTACAACCTCATTATGGTAAACTCAAGACGAAAGTGCGCGTGCGGCGATAACTCAGTTTTTTTAGCTGTCAAATGCAACGATAGCCTTACTGTAATTGAGGTTCTCGCCGCATTGGGAACCAGTTTCGATTGTGCCTCTAAAGGAGAAATAAATAAGGTGCTCGAAATTGGTGTGGATCCCAATCGTATAATTTTCGCGAATCCTGCAAAACCCATTAGCCATATTCGACATGCGGCCGATGTGGGAGTTAATACGATGACATTCGATAATGAAGTTGAATTGCATAAGGTTAAAAACTTGTTTCCTGATGCCAAGTGAGTATCTTGAAATGTCCCTTGACCGGTAATTACAGTTAATATTTGCAGGATGGTTATACGTATCAGATGTGACGCTAAGGTATCTCAGTGTCCTTTGGGCATGAAATTTGGATGTAATGCCGAGACCGAAGCCCCTCATCTGTTACGAGTAGCGTCCGAGTTGGGACTCGATGTTGTTGGTGTTAGTTTCCATGTCGGTTCCGGTTGTGGTGAGCCGGACGTTTTTCGTAAAGCCATCGCTCTCAGTCGACAAATTTTTGATTATGCAGAATCTCTGGGTTATCGTTTTAATCTATTGGACCTTGGTGGTGGATACCCCGGTGACCATAGTAATTCCATTTTTGAGGTATTTACCTATCACTTCTTTCTTTAAGGGAACAGTGTTTAATAAGGTTGTCCCTTTTCAGATTGCAGAAATAATAAATTGCGCTTTGGAAGATTACTTTCCGGATCCGTCTGTGCATGTCATTGCGGAACCGGGACGATTCTATGTTTCTTCGGCTTACACATTAGCTTGCAATGTTCATTCAATTAGAGGTGTTGCTACAAAGGATCCTGTTACTGAAGCACCTTCGACTCATTACATGTATTACATTAATGACGGTGTCTACGGAAGCTTCAATTGTGTATTGTATGACCATCAACATGTCGTGGGTCTACCTCTGAAGGAGTACCCGCACTCTAAGTTGCATTCAAGTAGTATTTGGGGTCCGACTTGTGACGGTTTGGACCAGGTGGTTGAAGAAACTCTTTTGCCTGAACTACATGTCGGTGATTGGCTAATATTTGAAAATATGGGTGCCTACACGCTTCCAGTAGCAAGTCCATTTAACGGTTTTCCTGTACCAAAAGTTCACGTAGTGGCTAACGAAGATATTTGGATGCTTCTGAAGGATATTCTGCCTTTAACCGAGGATCATTTTGTAATTGGAACAACTCCAGCTTCACTGGTTAAGAATATGAATGTAGATCGAGAAACTGATTGGGTTTTACCAGACCTACCGATCACCATTACTTTACCAATTTGCGGCGACGGTACCATTATTGAGGAACACGTTTTGGAGTATGTGGACGTATGTCCTGTAGCACATTGACATATCATTTTCTGTGTCACGAATTTCCCCAACATTTTTACGTTTTAAATAATTTTTGTTTAATTTTTTCACTACAATTTTAGGTTTACATCATTTTTGCAATAACTAACTATGAATTAACTTAAAAAATGGGAACAATTACTTATAATATTTTTCAAAAATTGTACTTTAAGATTTTATAGTTTTTACCTTGACCTAAGATATGTGTATCTGTTAAATGTAGTTAACGAGGGGCTTTCTATGTAGCAACGCTGTCGATTTTTGCTGTGAAAATTGACACAAAATTATTGGGAATGTAAAATTAATTGCCATAGAAAGCCTATTTGTGAAAGTAAAGGGGCAGCTTAAGCTTATTCAAAATAAAAATCATCAGGATAGTCTAGTAGATTTCTTCAATTAAACACAAATCTACTAGACTATCTTGTTTGCTTCGATTATCATAGAGTAAGTAAATTGCTTGCTCTACGATTACGCTTGACCATTGATGTATGAATAAATTATTAATGTAACTCTTCATTTGTTTCTTTCTCCTGTCCTAGCCTTTGCGATTTCAACCAAAACAAAATAGACGGAGAAAACAGTACATTCAAAAATTTCAATTTTGCAATGGTGTTCAAACAATAAATACAATGCGATCAAAAATGAGTTGCTTTCGAGTTACCTTTGGAATTTTTGTTTACATGGAAAATCGTATTTAACTTGAACTTCCAAAGGCAACTCGACAGCAACTCATTTTTGATCGCCCGTTATTTCCACACGTCAAAGTAAGGCAAGAAATTATTTCACTTGAACGTTCTGCAAAATTTTCTTTCTTTTCGTGATGTTGTATTCAGTCTTCTTCTCTGTGGTAGTGCATGCAGTTGTAGGCAATTGAACATTTCACTCTGTTCTCCCTGCAGTTGACAGAAGAGCACATATCGCAGACTGAAATACATCTGTGCTTATATTAATAGGGTATGAGGTTATACATCTTTGCCATTGTAACACATGGCATTCAGGTTAGAGAGCAAATGGATATCTAGTTTTAGGAACAGTGTACATACAGTCAACTAAGAGTCTGCTCCTTGTGAAAGGCGTTTTGAATGGGGGTTGCTGCGCTAAAAAGGCAAGGCTGGTTTGGCGATTTTAAGTGTACCTGTGTCCATTTCCAAAGATTACTCTTTGCCATTTCTTCACAAACATGCCTTATCTGTTTATGGTCCATTTAAAACGCCTTTAACCTAGAGCACCATTCTTACTTCATCGACCGCAGTTCGGAAAACTAGATAAATACCCACTTGTTCTCTAACCTGAATGCCATGTCGTATTGTAAACATATTAAAAATATCAACCGAGCAAGATACACTATGCGATCAAAAATGGCTGTCAAGTTACCTTTAGAATTTTTCTTTACATGGGAAATCTTAAACTTGAACTTCCAAAGGCAACTCATTTTTGGTCGCCCACAATTTACAATAATATGAAACACGTTTATCCTTCAAAATTATTCTCGAAATTTCTCTCTGTTTTTCATTGCAATGGCCCCTGCTCAGCGGTTGCTATTTAAATCCTATGTCGCCACATCACCCACCTGGAGAGTGAGAAAACCTATTCTTTTAGATAAAAGCGCACGTGCCGGCCGGAACGTGTGATGTAATCAAGTGTGTTATATTCGAGAACCGGAAGCACTAGTAGAGGCAGGCAAAACGCATCTGCAAAGAAGTAGACGGGCTCTCAGGAAAACGTGAGCAAGTTACCAGGTCTCTAAACACAAAAACGGACGATTTAGTATGGCGAGAGGCAGGCGTTGGACGAATGCGTGACATAATCTGTCCAAGGCTGTTGTTAGAGACTGTCTGTTATGTCACTGAGTACTTGCTGGCGGGTAGGAGGGCTGATCATCTCTTCTGGAAGGGGGTTTTCCATACACAAGTTTCGCGGATGACGATTGGAGGCAACCCTTGAATGCGCTCCGCATTCCAAGAAGAACCACTGGAAGAGCTATGTCGTGAGAAGGTGAAGATTGTTCGCTTGGAAGCATCTTGATACTTAGTTGCATGTGGGTCGTCCGGGTGAGGACAGATCAGTTATTTCATCGATGAGTCGGTTATTACGGCAGTCTGGAAGTAAATTAAAATGTGGCAAAAAATCAGAACCATAAAATGGGTAAAGCAACATCGGCGACGAGAAAATTCCATGATAAATCTCTCTGTTATATTTGGACATTTAACATTTCTCCTATGCCTTTCTAATCAACATTTGCGCATCTCCTTCAATCGACAGTACCTAGTCGGATGCCTAAACTTGAGGCAGTTATGGCATCTGACCAGAAGGAGGATATAAGGTCTGACCGTGAGCCTGAGATCCGCGGCGCTTAAACTTTGGGCAGCGTAGGTACTCTTGTTAAATGTTAATTTTATAAATATTGTTGGTACTAAATCGTCCTCAACTTTTTTTAATATTCGTTCTGCAGCTACTACGCTTTGGGGTTTCAACCCTTCAAGTTATCGTTGCTGCAGGATTGCAGGTCTCTGCTCCGAATTATTCCAATGGATTTATCGAGGATATCATTGGGTTTGACTTCGGCCTCCTCATAGCATATAAATTCTAGATCTTTTAGTCTTCCAATTCACTGACGTACCTACCTATCTTTTACTTTTATATTAAGCGCAATAATGAAAATCGTCCTAAAGAAGGTCATGCCGAAATTCATTACAGAGCCAGGTGCTGATGAGGAAGAAGAACAAGAAATAAAAATGATGGATAATTTATATTACGGTAGCTCTTAATTTGGATTTAATTTTTTGAATCTTTTAGAAAGTAGTCATTTCGGTAAGAGGGGCGCGTAATTTCAAAATCTGAGTTAATATCGGCGATCTTGTGATACTCATAATTCGAGCTAGCTGTGAATTATATGCACGAAAAAAACGGTAAAATATGCAAACAGTTTTGATGAATATGCAAAATTATATATCTTGCATAATTTCCAGGAATTGCCTCCTGTCGCTAAGATTTAATTTATAATTTATAAGTGATAACATTTTTCACATGAAATCGTATGGTTGGTTCAAAAGCACGCAAAATAATGTAAAGCATGGACAAGTTTCTAACACTATGAAGGATTAGGTTATGCTCAAAATGAACAATGTAAGCATCCGTTGCCTTACGAGGAAATAAGCTATTATGGATCCTTTGTTTGCTCATTCGTCTGTTTCTTAAACCATATCCTACTAGGGGGATGCTATCGATCTGAGTCCTGGTAAAATTAATGTTGTAGTAATGGTTCTTTGGGCGCTTACTATGCTGGTTGATATAATATTTTCACCATATCAACGTACTACGGAAACTAGGCAAATGGACAAATGAGCCTTTTTAATTTTTAAAAATTTTTAGGTATGCCAAAGATCTGATCGTACTTGTACTAGAGCGTTGAAAGCTAATTCGAAAATTATAAAAGAATAATGGAAATTAATAAATGTATCTTACTGAATTATTAAACGAAAAAAATTTACAATTTTTGTTCTTTGCATATATCTCTGTGTTTCTAATAACAACGATTCTACAACATTTAAAAGGAAAATCACTAAATCTGTTTTTCGCTCATATCTATGTACCTACACTGGATTTTTTTCAAAAAACAAAAGCAAATTTTAAATAAGCTCTAAAAACGTCAACACTTTTTTCTTATTTAACCGAATCTCTATGTCTTATATGGTTTCCAAGATTCCAATAAACGAAAAAAAAAACTCACCCTGTATATCGTGATAAAATGCTGTAACCGCATGTTACCTAATATTCTTGGTGATTAGCTCTTAAACACGAAATTAATTCTGTTATCATTATGCCCTATTGCACCATATTTTTGCATCCTTTTATTTAGTTAATCAGATATCATTTTTTTTTCTAAATGGAATAAAACAAACAGCAGTGATAACAGTAATCATAGTTTATTGCAAGATGAACTCTGAAAGCGAGTCCATTGAAGTCTACAATAATGATACCACTGTGAATAAAATTATCGCGGAAAAGGTTAGACATCTTCATCATATTGAGCCTTTCTTCATTTGCGATATTCGCGAAGTACTGAGAAAATGTTCGTTATGGGCTGAATTATTTCCCAGAGTAAAGCCGTTTTATGGTAAAAATAGCTGTCGCATTTAATTTTCTTAACCATAATTTTAGCGGTTAAAGCAAATAGCAGTAGACTTGTGTTGAAAGTAATGGCAGATTTTGGAATAAACTTTGATTGTGCGTCAAAGTATGAAATTGATCTTGCTTTATCACTCGGAATCCCTCCTAAAAGAATAATTTATGCGCATTCAATTAAAACATCTAGTTATATAAAGTATGCTTCTGATGCTGACATTAAATTGATGACTTTCGATAATGAAGAGGAATTGCGTAAGATGAAAAGACTTTGTCCAGATGTTCAGTAACATATATATCAACATCATTTGCTAATTGACCAAATTATACCAACATTTTAGAGCTATCATACGAATAAAATATGATGCGAAAAATGCTTTTTTGAAGCTTGGTGAAAAGTTTGGCTGCAATGTGGAGAACGAAGCAGATGAATTAATTAATCTTGCTCAAAGTTTGTGTGTAAACCTGGTAGGTGTTAGTTTTCATATAGGGGTAGGGTGTACAGATCTGCCAACATTTTACAATGCTATCAAATCGGCAAGGATAGTTTTTGATATAGCAAAACGGTACGGATATGATCTCCGCATATTGGACATAGGTGGTGGGTTCCCCGGGGCCGATGATGTACTACTTAAACAGGTAGTTTTTGTTAGTAGGTAACGCCTAAGCTTGGCTCACAAAACACTTTGTTTGCAGATCGCATTGACTGTTAATAACGCTTTGGACATGTACTTTTCCGATCAGTCGATTCAGATTATTGCCGAACCCGGTACCGTTTTAGTAGACTCGGCATTTACATTGGCTTGTAATGTGATATCTAGAAAATTTAAGTCGAATAAATGGATTTATTACATAAATGATGGACTACATGGAAGTTTTCACAAAGGTCTCATTGTAGGGAGCCCATTTACAATGTACCCTTTAAAAGTATGTGGCGAGGGCGACACCAAAAGGTTTATCGTATCCTTTTTAGATACCATCGCATAAAGAGCTTTACAGCAGCACCATTTTTGGTGTTACATGTGGAGCGAAAGATAAGTTAATTGAAAATCTCACACTACCCTCGTTGGAAATTGACGATTGGCTGATTTTAAAGAATATGGGGGCGTATTCCTTGGGTTTGCATACCAGCATGAATGGATTTTTTGTCCCTCGTATGTTTTACGTGACAGACTTCAACAACTTGTACGTTTTAAATGAATCAAGGAAACTATACCCTTATTGAACACTTTCAGAACACGCTATGGATTGTCGGAGTTCAATTATAAGTTCACCAAAACGATATTAAAAGAAGCAACAGATGATAGGACCAATTTGAACGAAGAATTTAGGGTGACATTTTGCTTAGATTTTATCTTGTAACGTACCCAGCAGAAGAGCTAGGAAAACTAATTGCACTATAAATATGTAAAAAATAATATACCGGATGTTGCGTTTTAATGCGTTAGCTAACTGCATGTTAAGAAAGATTCAATTGGCAACTTTGATGCGAATTTGTCGTGGAGTTTTCTTCTAATGAAGGTCAAAAAATAGTTGTAGCAAAGAAAACTCAAAATATTACAAGGAGCGATGAAGCATGAAAATTAAAATTTCCTGACAAAAGTAATCATGAAAATGTAGGTTTCATTATACAGGGTAAAAATATTTCTCGACGACGAAATTTGACCCCACAAACAGGAGATAGAGGTACAAACAGCCTAGGCAAGTGGGAATTCGGCCAATTACGTATATCATACTGTAACTACAATGTTCATCAAAGTGTTTCCCTTGGCGTCATTCTCAGAATAACCGAAATTGAATTTGCTCACTCCCGATATTCGGAATAAAATGAACAGATTTAGACAAAATATTGCAGTTAGAAAAGTTATTTTAAGTCTAAAAGTCCTAAAGGGGTCTAGAGTGGGAGTTTGAAGCTTCAAATCCGTTAGAATTGGACTGGATTCCTCACAGACAACAGCAAAGCGTGCCCTTTGCGTTCCAGAGTAATGTACCATAAATTCCGCGAAAGTGGATTGCCGTGGTCTCATTTGCATCACATTGTCCGCTTCTGGATATTACTCCGCGTATGGAGCCAACCGATTTATGTGCATTACCACTGGTTTTCCTCGTGGTAGTTTCCGTATCCGATAATATTAAATCATTTATTCTCTTCACAAGTGCGCATAATATTTCCTCTGATGGGGACGATACAACGAAACTACGTCTCCAGGCCACTAGATTGGGCCTTCACGTCGTACGGCTCCTTCATTCTGTCGCTCACTATTCACTAACTGCATAATATCTCAATGTTTCCTATGCATGGCACCCAATTTCTTTCGTAAGTTTTCCACATACTCGTTCAACACAGTTTCTTCCACCTCGGGTCTTGTACCAAATTTTAAATCACAGGGTAACCGAAGTTCTTGGACAAATATCATGAAAGCTGGGCTCCCTCCTGTAGCTTCCTGCACGGCAAAACGGTTCGTTCCTGAGTTCGTTCTCAGGAACAAATGCAGATATCGATCCTAATCACGCTAGTGGTTGGACACAACTTTTGACAAGTACTTCCTCATTGTCCCTTTCATGTGTTCGCTACAGTATAGTGAGTCGAAGTGGAGCCAATTGTTGCAAAACAGTGCTTTGACTACTCCCAAGGTGCACACCTCCATCATAAAGTTCAGAATTAATTCTAAGGAAAAAGTCTTATATTTCTATGGAGCACAAAATGCAGTAAATAATTAGTTACTTATAACTAGTTTAGTAAGAAAATACCAACAGAAACTTTATCGACATCAAAAGTTGAAATAAACTTCTTATTGGTATTTAAGTCATTAATAGGTAGTTCCTTTTCGTTAATAGTTGGCCACTGCAAGGTAAACGATAGCTGCGAACAGTTGTCTCTAGAAAATTTGTTACAAAATGATTCCCCTTCACTCATACTCACGGATTAACAACGTAACAAACATCGGGTCCTGAAAATCCATCGTAAAAAGTACATAGGCTTGTACAATATGCTCCCATGTTTAAAAATAATAACCAATCCCCGATCTCCAATACGGGCAGTAAAGCATCACTAGTTAATACATCGGGAATTGCAGATGAACTTCCATAGATAATACTTTTGTATAGTTTTCTTTTGTAATATTTCTAAAAATGAGCGATTAATAGGTTGCTGCCGGGAGATATTTCTGAATTTCAAGCATAACCATATAGAGAACCTACTTTTAAAGGATACACCGTAACTGGTACGTTAAAACAATAATCTCTACGAAAGCTACCATGTATCCCATCATTTATGTAGTAAGTCAATTTCTTATTCATCTCCAGTTTTTTTGACAACACATTGCATGCTAAAGTGAAAGAGGAATTTACAAAAAACGATCCAGGCTCCGCAATTATTTCCATCGATTCATTGGGAAAGTACAATTCAAGCGCGTTATTAATTGTCTGCGCAATCTGGAAGAAGAAGCTTCAATGAAATGTCAGTCAGTGTGCGTTTAAACCTTTTTAAACCACTGATCATTTACACCAGTAAATCCGCCACCTATATCTAATACGTTAGGATTAAACCCCTGAAGTTTTGCCATACTAAACACAGCGTGCGCTTTCTGAATGGCGTTGGAAAACGCTTCTAAGTCGTGGCATTCAGTACCGACGTGGAAACTAACACCAACAAGATCTACGTCAAGGGTTCGTGCTAACTGAATTAAGCGAGCTGCTTCGTTATCACTGTTGCATCCAAATTTTGATCCATAACTTAGAATTGATTCTTTTGCATCACTTCTTATTCTTAAAACGGCCCTGAAATAAACATTTTTGTATGTCTGCTCGCTTTTCAAAATGTTAAGATGTGTAAATGATCGATTTTCTAGGTAGCTTTGGTAAGGAAGCGGAGATTTAAGAAAACGTTCCACTTTGAAAGTCAATCTGGCCAAATCTATGAAAAAAAAAACAATATTTGAAGCAGATAGTTCCTGTTATGATTCATCATCGTTACACCATTTTACACATGTACAAACCCACTCTGACACTTTCCAAACTGTGCCGATGTGTTCTCATCGGAACAGATAATCACTAATGGCTTTTCGAGGAGATGCTGACGTTTGTTAGCTAAGAAGTGTCGAATAATCAAATTTTGGATGATATGAACAAACATAACAACTCTTGTTTCAACCCATGACAATAAAGTAAGTTATCATGGCTTCAACCTACCTAACGTCGGAATACAATTTTTTCATCTTGCTCAACTCCTCTGCATTGTCAAATGTGATTAGCTTAACACCAACTTCCTTCGCATATTCTATCGAGTTAGGTGGTTTAACTGGATGCGCGTAAATAATTCTTTCAGGATGCACTCCAAGCGACAGTATTTGGTCAATTTCATTTTTTGAAGCGCAATCGAAATTAACACCAACATCGGCTAACATCTTAAGAACATTTGCGCAATTATTCGCTTTGACGGCTAAAAATGTTTGAATAAAATGACAAAAATCTTTACCTTCGTGACCATACCGAAGAAAGGTTTCACTCGCGGTAATGATCGAGTCCATAATGAATGTTTTTCAAATATTTCGCGAAGATCACAAACATAAAATGGAGCCGTACTTTTTCGTTGGAGAATTTTTTCGGCGATTATTCTAGTAACGGAGATATCGTTTTTATAGACGTCAACACTTTGGAAGTTATTTTCAAAATTCATGTTGTATTGCAGAACTTCTAGTCTCTAGTGTGTTGGTTCCTACAACTTTAGTTATGTCGTGTGATCGATCGAACTTTGTACACCAGAAATATACAATCGCACAGTAAACAATAGTAGGTAGTGGTTAAGACATTCAATATTAAGACTAAATAGCATGTTGGAATAATACGGGTTTTTGTGTTGAAAAAGGTTTATTGTAAATTAAAAATTAAGCCTTTGATAGGCTACTCTAGTGGGTCCCAGCGCGGCAGAACATCGAAACATTTTGAAGTGTACGAGGGCGTTTTCGTAACTGATCTACCTACGTATAATAATGAAGTCACATGAACGTCGCATCGCGCAATTATAAAGTTCCTCACCAAAGATCGAAATAGAGCGAAAGCCATCCATGGAAAAATGAAGCATTTTTGGTATAATACGTAATATATTGAACAAATAACTAATTCTTAATAAAATAAGAGAAGAACAAACCAGAAAATGTCTAAATGACAAAGTCAGGCTTTCTTTTTGTATACGCAAATCTATTTTTTCCGCTTTCCACAAAATTTGTCCAATAGGTATTCTTGCACGATTGAATTGCACCTACACCATCTTGTTGAAACAACAGTTTCCAATAAAAAATTCTACTCAATATAGTACTCCTTCTTTTCACGGGCCATATAAAAAAATAAAGTGCGAAACGTCTCAACGGTGTAAAATTCAATAAGCGGCAATAAGAAAATGTTTTTGTATCTGTTCAAATAACATCAGAAAAAAATAAAAACGAAATCGGCAAATTTCTTGTCTCTAATTTGACCATCTTCATATCTTGTATGGTTTCCTAAATCCCCATGATAGACATCCTTATCTGGGATACAGAGTATAGCTGCACTTCATCGAGACGTTGTGATAACGACGAGTTATCCGTACTCATTTATTAACAACGTTAACGTTTTTTAAATATTGTTAAAATATCTTCTTTTTTGCCTGACAGACTTTGCCTTGGGTATGTGTACCTACGTTCTTTTTTTGCGTTTTTGCGAATGACATCTTATTAAAATAGTGACACATATTTACATTTTTGAAATCACTATCAAATGACACAAAAAGTAAAAATGACTTCTATAAGAAAAAACAAAGTTGATGATTATCCGGAGACGAAACGTCATACTTAAAATTTAAAACTAGCATCTTGTAGAGGGAAAAAACTGGTTATAATAATGTGTCATTTATTTAAAAATATCTTTTTAATTAACTTCAGTAGGAAATAAAAACGATTTTGCAAAATTTCGTTTTTTCCGGATATCTTCGGAAGTAGTCGAAATTTTTTCAGTTTCGAAACGGCATTTTGTTAAGCATCAAAATACGCAACTTTACCAAACTTAAACTATCTACCTACGTATCTCTCTACCTAGGTCAACTACATTTCCTTGTACAAAAGGACGAAGGAAGAAGTTTAAAGCGTCATATTAACTCCACCGTACAAATATCAAAAAGGTACATTTTCAAATTACACCTCCGCAACAGCCAACAATCGTCATAAAATGACAACTACCAACATTTTCTGTCTGATGATCAAGGACCAAATCAACCAACACAACCAGATATTCAGTACAATATAATATTACTGGCTGAATCAGTATCAGTATCAGCGGCCAAGGAGAGTAACGCGAGCACCAGCATACTTAGATAGAGGATTATATTACACATTGATTCTGATCTTCCACGAGTGAACTTTTAAGAGGGGGAGACTGTGGTATTTTCTAAGGGTGTTTTTCATAATATTCAAAAGAATTCAGAATGCATTGGTCAATGTAACAAAAACAAATATTTTACGTTTTTTAGTTATTGTTCATAGAAAAAAGCTTTAAAATTCGTAAATTATTTAACATTTAGCTTACGAGAGAGGACGGGGCAGAAAAGGTAATCGCAATAACATTGTTAAACTAATGAGGTAGTATTTTCAACAAGAGTGAAATCTAAATTGTCAATAGAATCCGGGCTAGAACGAAGAACTTTTGTGTCATCCGTGTCAGGAGCGTCAGCTACGTATATTCTAACATCAACTGGTTGTCTGTTCTTCAGAGAATGTATAAAAAACCTCTACCAAACATTAGATGCGCGATGTTAATTATGTTAATTACTAGTAGTAGTCTAGGCGATAAAGACATCTAACTGGACATTTTGAGGTGGAAAAGAAAAAATGGTGGAATATGTACAGTTAGGTGTCAAAAACAACGTATTAAAAATCCCACCCCCCAGACCCTGTGCTAAAGGCTCCAGCCACCTCAGCATCCCCCAAAAACCGTGTTTTCGCTCTTTTTGGCTGATATCTCGCGATCTATGAGGTCTATATGAAATATTTTTAGCTGAAAATATTTCTCGGGAAATTTCATACAAGGTAGATACTCAGAAGTTAGCCTAGGTGTACCTCTTAGCCTAGGGAATTCATAAAAGGAGGCGAAAATCGTCAATTTTCGTGTTTTTTTGCGGTTTTTTGCAAATATATCGCGACCTTCAGGGCTAGATGAAATATGTTTAGCTGAAAATGCTCTTCGTGCAATTTCATACGAGATAGGTAACTGAAGAGTTGGCGTAAAGTCACCTTTCACCTTCAATTTTCATGTGTGAGGAAATATTCATTGTAAAACAAAGTATTTCTATGTACCATTTATTCACGTAAAAACAGTATTTTCATATTGAAATATTCACACATTCATTTATACCTCAACGAAATCATTATCCTCTGCAGATTCCACTTCTTCAGGCTCTTCGACGTCCTCTAGTGCTAGTGGGTCGTCTGAAATTACCGACTCGTAGTTCTCCTCGCCTTCCGCTTTACCTGCATGGGTATCCTGAAGAGACGGCGTGGCATTTAGGCACGATGTTCCATGACACTGGACGCAAAATTCGTTCTTCAGACCTACAAAAAGAAGTATTATGTCAAAAAAATTTTATAATTAAGTATATGAATATAATATTCTCTCGTGTGTCCTAACTCCTTAGTGTCGGGTAGAGAAGGTTTACCTGATTTTCTGAAACAGTTGCAGGAAATCAGGTAAACCTTCTCTACCGGACACTTAGGACACACGAGAGAATATTATAATCGTATACATAATTATAAACATTTTTTTCTATTTCGGTGTCACAATGATGATTTTGTACAACTGTTTTCGGCCGAAAACAGTTGTACAAAGACAGTGATTATAGTCGTTTTTTTTGGTAACTCATCTCTTAAGTTGGAAGTTACTAGTTAGTACAAGTAGGTACTTCGTTGGGTACTTCCATGTTTGAACTTCAAAATGTCAGTCTTACTACGCTGCCAACCTAAAACTTAAAGGCATAAAAAGTGTTCCCAACATAAAACATGTTAGTTCTAATGTTCCCTATAGTTTCTGATAATGATTTTTTTAATTAAATTAAAGCACCGAAATAGAAAAAATAGTATGAAAAACGCGTGTTACAATGCTTGATTGTAATACTCCTATCTTGCGGACACTCGTGGCTACGCTTCGCGTCGCCAGATAGTCGTATTACAATAGGTCGCATTGTAACACTTGTCTTTCAATATACTATTTTGACATAATGCTTCTTGTTGTAGGTCTGAAGTGTAATGAACTCTGCGTCCAGTATCATGGAGCATCGTGCCTAAATGCCACGTCGTCTCTTCAGGGTACCCAATACCCATGCATCAGGTAAAGCGGAAGACGAGAACTACGAGTCGGTAATCTCAGACGACCCATTACCACTAGAGGACGTCGAAGAGCCTGAAGAAGTGGAATCTGCATCTAGTCTATAACTTTTGATTGAGAAGTCTGATCGAAAAAGTACGAATTGATTTGGATTCTACACACCCAAATTAATAAGAAAAAGTGTTTTCCCGAGAAATTTTGGTGTAGTCGATTTTTGGTAAAAAAGGAAGGTTATACACTGCCTTTTTTTTGAGCCCCGAAAAAAAAATTGTCTCAGATCGACCCGGAAAAAAAATTTTCTTATAGAATGTGGCCTGTAAAATCCATAATTTCAAACAGTTCCAAGATTGGGCTACTAGTTCAAAAGTTACAGCCCTTTGAATTTTTTTTCAAATTGGTTTCTAGTCTATAACTTTTGATTCAGAAGTCTGATCGAAAAAGTACGAATTGATATGGATTCTACGCACCCAAATTAATAAGAAAACGTGTTTTCCCGAGAAATTTTGGTGTAGTCGATTTTTGGTAAAAAAGGAAGGTTTATATACACTGCCTTTTTTTGAGCCCCCAAAAAAAAATTGTCTCAGATTGACCCGGAAAAAAATGTTCTTATAGAATGTGGCCTGTAGAATCCATTATTTCAAACAGTTCCAAGATTGGGCTACTAGTTCAAAAGTTACAGCCCTTTGAATTTTTTTTCAAATTGGTTTCTAGTCTATAACTTTTGATAAGAAGTCTGATCGAAAAAGTACGAATTGATTTGGATAAGTATAAGGGTAATGATTACGTTGAGGTATAAATGAATGTGTGAATATTTTAATATGAAAATACTGTTTTTACGTGAATAAATGGTAGAAATACTTTGTTTTACAATGAATATTTCCTCACACATGAAAGTTGAAGGTGAAAGGTGACTTTACGCCAACTCTTCAGTTACCAACCTCGTATGAAATTGCACGAAGAGCATTTTCAGCTAAACATATTTCATCTAGCCCTGACGGTCGCGATATTTTTACAAAAAACCGCAAAAAAAACACGAAAATGATGATTTTCGTCTCCTTTTATGAATTTTCTAGGCTAAGAGGTACACCTAGGCTAACTTCTGAGTATCTACCTTGTAAAAAATTTCAGGAGGAGCATTTTCGGCTAAAAATATTTCATCTAGCCCTAAAGGTCGCGATATATTTGCAAAAAGCCACGAAAATTGATGATTTTCGCCGCTTTTATGAATTTCCTAGGCTAAGAGGTACACCTAGGCTAACTTCTGAGTATCTACCTTGTATAAAATTTCCCGAGAAATATTTTCAGCTAAAAATATTTCATATAGACCTCATAGATCGCGAGATATCAGCCAAAAAGAGCGAAAACACGGTTTTTGGGGGATGGTGGGGTGGCTGGAGCCTTTAGCACAGGGTCTGGAGGATGAGATTTTTAATATGTTGTTTTTGACACCTAACTGAACATATTCCACCATTTTTTTCTTTTCCACCTCAAAATGTCCAGTTTGCCAATTTTACAGTCTCTATCGCCTAGACTATAGGCCAAAGTAGTCGAATTTTTTTTAATGCAAAATAAAGCTAATACATCCGTGAAAGTGCGTGGTCCACCTGAGGGTTAAAGTTCTCAGCAATGAGACCACGCTGAAAATGCATTCAAAATCTTTCAACACGTTTGTTAAACGAAAGGGAAGAGTTTCGACGCAAATCTCCCCACAAGCGTATTCTATACCATATTTTTTAATATATTTAACAAAAATACAATGATTATATTACTATTTTGAAAAGTAAGTAACTTTTATCGTACCGATTCTCTTATTGGAATTTCCATTTAGATAGAAAAAGTTTGTAATATCCTTGTATGAAAGATAAGTTTTAGGGTCAACAATCGCGCTTAACTAACTTGTGAGTTGTGACTATATCAGTGAAACTAACGTAATTACCTAAGTCGCAATGATTAAACGTGATAAGCGAAATTTTTATGCCTATTGGCCTAACAAAACGCAATAGCGGTATATCGCACAGGGTGTAGCAGATAAAAGATACTGAAAAAGTGTCCAGTTCGATATTCTTCGTTTCCGTATGCCTAATATCATTACCCATCATTTGAACAAAATTCGTCGAGCCGTAACTTGCCAACCTACGTACACACATACAGACGGAAAAAAATGTATTCGTAAAAAATTGTGATATGAATTAAACAGCGCGGTATACCTTCTGGAAATTTTAATAAAATAGCGTATTCTCTATGATTAATAAGCATAAGTAAATATATGCTACTAGGTATAAGTACTATTTTGTTCTTGTTAGGCAGCGATTTTTTGAAAGAACGCGTTCTCTAACTCCACATATATTATGTGTTTCAGTTTCGGAAGTACGAAAAATATCGTATTATAGGTACCTTGCGACTGAAGTAGTAGTCTTAATCCCTCAGGTAAATTATGGCCCTCCCTTCGGTCGGGCCATAAACTTTACCTTCAGGATTAAAAGTATACTACTTCAGTCCCGCGGTATATAATAAGTATACTATTTTGCGTATACCCTTTGATCTTTTTACGAACACAGCACTGGAATTAAACAAGCTAAAAACATGTCCGATGTCAAAAAATAAATATCATCATCGCTATAAAAGCTATGGCAAAATGTGTAGCTTGGAAGTTTCTTATTCCGAAACGACAAACCTAGGCAATGGATTCATAAGGCTTGCAAATTGCAATTCAAACTCGTTCTGCACATGAATAATAGTTATTTATATAACAAGAGCGCGAAGTTCAATTTCGCGCATTGAGACTGAAGGTATTTTGACGAGGCGAAGCCGAGTTAAAATATCAGTCAAATGCGGGAAATAACTTCGCGCTAGCGTTATATACAATATTTTTTCTACAACTGAACCGATTGTTAATTAAATTTGCTGTTTAAGTTCAACTTTGTCACGTGCGCAAAATACTTTTTTTCACTGTTGACGATTTCGCGCATGTTGTCAAGGGCAACCTTACTTATTAATTAACCGTTTAAAAATCTAGTACTTCGCGCTTCGAAATTCGTCAGAAAATGACAGGTTTTTTTGACAGTTGTAGAAAAAAGCTTTAATTGCCATGGTTTCAGTGTTATACTGTTTTATTTATTATTCACTTCAATTTAATGCACTAAAATAATCATTTAACTTTTAAGGGCTTTTGAATTGTAAGCTCTATTCTTTACTAGATGAACTTTAGCTTGTTATTCACACATTGGGTGTTTACTACTATAGTATAGATGTTATAAATTTATCATATTGTAGCCGAACATTGCCATTCCCCTAAACTAGGTTTACTGTTGTGTTATATTATGCTGATAGATTACAGCAGGACGCATACATAAACTTGAAGCAATTCTGAAGGGAGTCCTTCTTTTCGTAGAACCATTTTCTAAAAATGATTTTCCATTGAATTCTAGTTGCAGATAATTGATAAATAAGCTCTTTAGACTGTCTACTTATCTAGTAAGTAAACGTGCGGTTGTGCACGTCAGTAGTAATTGATATCATATAATTTGCGGAATTGTGGTCGTGGATACTGATTTTGAACGTTAGATATAGTTCAGCCGGTTCAGCGCAAAATTTGATTATTAAGTGGGACGCTGGACTTTGAACATTCCGAAAAAAATCAACCCTAAATAACAAAAAATCATGCGAAAGTTTAATATTGTTTACGATCCGTTGTATTCCAAACAATTAAGACAAAGGTTTTCTTTTTTACTGATCATAATATTATCTGCTGAGCATAGTGTAATGCGTATGGGAAAGTGAGAATTACCTCAAGGTACAAGCAATGAATGACGGTATTTCCAAATACGAGTACGAAATAGAAATGAATCTCTATCGGAATATGATAAATGGCGAGTAATCAGTGTTCGTCGTAGTTGCGTTATCGCAAGCTGTCGCTAGTTCTAACCTGAAGTGAAAGAGACTAACAATGAATTTTGACAATAACAACCTTCCGCACGTTGAGATTTACAAAAACGATATTGATGTAACTAGAATTATTGCCGAAAAAATTAAACAGTGCGGGCACACAGATTCGTTTTATGTATGTGATTTTGGTGAAATTTTAAAAAAATATTCTTTGTGGATCAGTTTATTACCTGGAATAAAACCGTTCTATGGTGAGAAAAGAAGGTCGATATACATTCGTACATTTTTTTCATTTTTAGCGGTGAAAGCTAATAATAGTGGAAATATTTTAAAATTACTAGCCGACTTTGGATCAAATTTCGATTGCGCATCCAAAAATGAAATTGATCAAATATTGTCGCTTGGAATTCATCCCGATAGGATTATTTATGCTCATACGATTAAGTCACCTGAGTCTATACAATACGCCAATAAAGTTGGCGTAAAGCTGATGACTTTTGATAACTCAGAGGAACTGTATAAGATGAAGCAGTTGTGTCCTGATGTTAGGTAAGTCAATTGATGACATGGTTTTTCTATTGATGAAATAACATTTTTATTATTATTATCGAATAGAAACTTATTCAATACACCCCGGGGGGGGCATTAAATTTACTTGCACTTTGATATATTGATACTAAAACAATTATGATAATTGGTAACTGTCGATGACGTATGTATATAGATACAAGGCAAATCCCAGATTACCTACAAAGTTTCCGTATTAGTTTTACTGGTAATAAGTTTTTCAAATTCATAATTGTGTTTTACTCCAAAAAATAATTCCATATAATACGCGAGCAACGATTTTAATCAATTTTTCTTAATTACTGTACAATGAAGTAGGTACCTCATATTATTATGTACCTATTAGCAGAAGTAAAGTTTAATGTAATTATTGCTGTTGTTTTCAGACAGATCAACTTTTACCGACTTTAGGTAATATCAGAACAACTGATATAATCTTAAGTCCTCAACCTTTATAAATGGGCGAGTCAAATTTGTAGGTACCACAAAATGTTGAGAAACTTAATCTTTTAAATCTTTGATTATTATATTCAAAGCCGAGTTCAAAGCCCTTGAGGGAAATTTCATTAATATTCCATTTTTCTCTCGATCGTTAAAAGGAAATTTCGGCAAGTTTGGCATTTCATTCAGGTAATAAATAAATAATTTTTCGTACTTCCGAGAGTAAAGTGACAACTTCACTCCATTATGACAGGCACTGAAGTGTCACTTTTTGTCCCGCCGGGATTAAATTTGGACGAAAATCCCGGAAGGATGAAATTATTAACAAGGCAATTTCAGTAGGTTGTTCCACAATTTGTATGCGGCAATACTTCTTAAACGCATCGTACTGCTGCTCATATAGTTTTTTGGATTTCGGTGGTATCAATTCTTTACCTACTTTGGCTGCTTTTTATCAAAATGAAATACACTTTCGTCACCCACGACCAAAATTATGACACTAGCAATGACAGTTTTCAAATTATTTTTGTTACCATAGCATAGGGTTTGTCGTACCAACGCAACGTTCCTATGGTAACTTGTTAAGCAGCGTTTTTTTGAAAGAACGCGTTCTCTAACTCCATACATATTAAGTGTTTCAGTTTCGGAAGTACGAAAAATATCGTATATACCTTGCGACTGAAGTAGTGGTCTTAATTAAAAATGCTACTTCAGTCCCGTGGTATATAATATACTATTTGAAGGTGCTGTTCAGTGCGATTTCTGTCTAAATTTCTGTCGTCCGTCTAATTTTGCGAACTATAACTGGATCCGTGAAGTTAACAAAATATTGGCGGCACACATTCCGAGACTAGGTGGATTGATTAGTGCTACGTTTGTGCCGGTTTGTGTCGTAAAAAGTTTGCTAGCAAAACATACCGTTTATGTATGTTTTGCTGGCAAACTTTTGACGGTACAAAACGGAACAAACGTAGCACTAACTAGTTTCAAACTTTGTGCCACCAATGTTCTGTTAACTTCACGGATCCACTACTTCGCTATTTAATACGCTCACGACAGATAGTTAAGGGGTGCAACTAACACAAATTAGGAAGTAATATTATATAGAAGTATGGGGGGATGACCACGGTATAGTATATCGAGAGGATGACAAATCTTTACACCTGAGCTAATAAAATAATTTCTGAATGTGTGTTCGTGTGATTTCTAATTAAATTTCTTGGAAAGTATATTTGTCTTCTTGAGCCAATTGTATGTACTACAGCCTCGCTTTTTAAAACGTGCATGAAACACAAGATATGCTAAGGGGTGCTGATTACTTGGCCGAGTACTAGGGAGGGTTAATTGAGGTCACATTTCAGAGTAAAATTAAGTCAAACTTTGCTTTCTGGACTAATTTAATTTTTGATGATAGTTTGTGAAAATAAGTAGGTACTCCATACATGTATCTAGAAAGACCGTATAAATTTGATTATTAACGATCCTCGAGATACTTATAAATTTTGTATTGCTGTCTGTCTGTCCGTCCGTCTGCACGATAACTTTGTTTAGAAACGGCCGATCGAAAATTGGTACACATGCTCTTAAGGATGTAAGAAAGATCGTTATTAGGTGCTTTTCAGCTACGCAGACTATCGCGCCAAAAAGTTACAGCACAAAGAAGATCTCGAGGATCGTTCCATATTCAGTTGTATCGGATTTTTAAAAAAGCAACAAGTAATCCAGTTTGTTTTTTATTTTCAACATTTTCGCAATATCAAATCATGTCGCTCCATAGCTACCCATTCTTTTCTAATTCCAATTTCATTAATTTCCAAATTAATTTATTTTTGTTGAAAAATGTTTACCTATATGAAATGTTGGTAAAAAGTATATTATAGTTCGATAAAATCTCTCGCTTCTATTCTATTTCACTGATCTAGGTGCAGCAATCTCCCATTAACCGAAAATTAAACTTGTTCTGAAGGTTTCTAGAAAAATCATCACTAGATCAAGAGCTAAAATTAACGCAAAAAACCAAATGCTTATTATTAACTCAACCTTCACTTTTAGAGCTATACTGCGTATTAAGAGCGACGCGAGAGACGCCCTGGTAAAATTTGGCTCAAAATTTGGATGTGATGTTGAACACGACGCTGAACGTCTTATACGGTTGGCACAAGACCTCGGTGTAGATCTTGTCGGTGTGAGCTTCCACGTAGGTTTCGGATGTAAAGATTTCGATGCATTCTACAACGCAATTAAACTGACACGCACCGTATTCAATTTAGCGAAAGTCCACGGATACAATCTCAATATACTAGATATTGGGGGAGGATTCCCAGGTACTAATGATAGGTATTTCAGAAAGGTAGGTGAGCGATTATCAATTAAACTGTAGTTGATAGCGTGTAATAGCTTGCAGTTACAATAAATCAAGCGCTTGATGAGTATTTTTCCGATGTGTCAATTCAAGTGATTGCAGAACCGGGAACTTTTTTTGTAAATTCCTCATTTACGTTAGCCTGTAATATTATATCTAGAAAATTCAATTCGAATAATAAGTGGGTTTATTACATAAACGATGGAATATTCGGCAGCTTCAACAGAGATTACTGCTTTAATGTGCCAATTACAATGTATCCTTTAAAGGTGAGTAGAGTGCACGCAAAAGGCAAATTTAAAGCTTTAAATTTTAGAACTACCGCAGTAAAAATGTGTACTCCAGTATTATCTTTGGTGTAACCTGTGCAACCCCCGATAGGTTGACAAACGATGTCACGATACCTAACTTGGAAATTGGCGATTGGTTAGTTTTTCCAAATATGGGAGCGTATTGCTTAAGTTTGTGCACATCCTTCAATGGTTTTTCTATACCACACATTTTTTATATTGTTAATGACGACACCCTGTAAGTATAGACTTGTAATGTGCATTTTATTTGAACATTTTTTTATAGGGCGGTCGGGCGTTTTTCTCAGGATTTTCCCTTCAAACGAGCAAGTGTTAGTCTAGATGAGTCCCTAAACCATTTCAATTTGAGGAAACGGTTTAGCACAATTTTTTGCATTGATAAGGATTAATTAAATGTATTGTTAATATTATCAAACAGTAAATTATAGGTAATTTAATAAATGCAAGATTTTATATTTCATTTATTTGCCGGTGACCAAAGCAACTCGCAGTATCTACACTTAGGACACTTAAGGGGGATCTCACACAGTTCATTTATGAGCGTTTGCATTAAGGGGGATCTCACACAGTTCATTTATGAGCGTTTGCAGAGGTTTCATAGAAAAATTCCCCAGACTTTAGTTTCAATCACTTAGTGCTAAATGATACACCGATCTCTTCGCAAGGAAATTTGCGATGTTTCTATAGTAACACATTTTTCAAATTTATTGCAATATCAAGTGAAATATCGTGTTAAATATAGCCAAAATGTGTCACTTTTCATACGTAGAATTTTGCATTATGGAAATAAATAATCGAAAAAGTGTTACTATAGAAACATAGAATTATCCTTCGTCTTTTCAACAAAAAAAAATTGAAAAGATCTGTAAAGAAATACGGCCGTGACAATCTTTCCAGGAAACGTCTACCGTGTATGGATTGTATGAATTTTACTTGCTGTTGAGTAGCGCCACGCAATCCGAGTTTTAAAACTAAACTGGACGTATTCAGATCATTTTGTGAGAAGGAATATTTCATTTGTCAATTCTAAATCAGAGACTACTTGCAAAAGGATTAACAATTTTAGTTCAAAATGCGTCTTCATTTAATGATTTAAGTGCAAATCGAGAACACTCATAAAATTGAATTAAAAATAAAAATAATTAGCAGTTAGTGTAGTGTATTAATTGTAAAATAAATAAAATTATAAAATTGTAACATACCATCAGAGCTGGGCAGTGGGCAGTATTCTACGTTGTAAATACTGTGTAGTATTCAGTGACTTTCGAGTACATATTCAAATACTTTGTAATTAAATAGGTAGGTACTTTTATGGAAGCAGTATTTGTATACTGAACTAAAATACTTTAACATATATTTTTTAGTGTTCAAATACTTTACAAACAATTCGCATATTTCGCAAAGTATTCTAATACTTCACCAACAATTCAAATACTTTTCAAGTTAGTGAAATACTTTGAGAACTATTTAAATATATATATTAAATGGAAAGTATTTAAATACTATCTTTCAGAAGGATTTAAATATTATTCGACAGAAATTCCCCTTATGTGATGGTTTTGTCCGCCCGTCTGTCTGTCTGTTCCTCGTCTAATTGGAGAATGGAAAGAGACAGGGATGTCAAACCTATACCAATCTATTTCTATGACTTTAAAGATCAATGCTATTGAATATGAGCTGAATTAAAAGTCTTATTTCCAAATGCGAGCCGAGTGTCAAAAAATTCCCCCACTAAGAATCGTACGCGATACTTCATACTCGTATGTTGTTTAACGATCGCCAAGAGTTTATAATTTCGTATTACTGTGTCTATCTGTCCCTGTGCATAATAACTTTGTTTAGAAACGTCAGATCGCTTTAAAAATTGGTACACATGTTTTTAAGGGTACCTATAAGAAAGGTCGCTATTGTTTCAGTTACGAAGTTCTAAAAATAGTGGATGCGTGAACATCTCGAGGATCATTCGGTATTCGACTGTATCGAATTTCGAGATGTGATGATAACGATATTGTTTCAAGCCACTTCACCACGATATGGTAAAACTAATATTTTTATAGATGCACATACCGTTTAAACACCGTAATAGGCTACTAAATGTAATCACCCAAAATGACATCAAGTGACCATGATGATGATGGATAATCTTTTTAATTTTTCAATTATTTGAGTGAAGTATTTGAATACTTTTGACTATATTTGAGCACTTGTCAAAGTAATGAAACACTTTTTAAAGTATTCAAATAGGTACTTTTGATAGATATATAAAAGCCAGCGTTTAAATAAAATTGATGAATTATCAACTTCGGCATGGCCTTTAGTTTTCAAACTAAGCGATGCAGGAATAACTCGATAGTACGAAGCTAATGCAGTACTCCCGAAGGCTCTTTATCTAGTCTTATCTAATCTCGCTTCATGTAGATATCGGTAGGTATAATAAAAGGCACTCGAACGAGTTTTGAGTATAATAAAGTTTAGTATATTTTTGGGGACGTTCACCTCCCTCCATTAATTTTCGAATTATTTCTAAACCCAAAAAAGGCGACATAAATACCCAATAGACCACAGTAGACAGCAAAGCTAACAGAGGGGTGGGGGGGTGCACATTTATATTGTAACATTCACTTACTGTAGAAGAACGCGTAAATTATTGTAGGTATCAGTTATTCCGAAAAGTCAAAAGTTATTGATGTTGGTGCGCGCATTAATTTCAGTATAATATTTTGAGATGAAATAGACATGTTCGTCAATTTATTCGGAAAGATAACATGAGAAAAGGTTTGTAAAGTAATATCCTCGGTAATATCCAAAGACGTTTAAACATATCAACGAAACGATCTTGTATATTATTTTAAACAAAAGTTGCTTGAAATTTGCATACAGGGTCGGTCATTAGTGCGTAGGTGGAAGACTGTGGGTTTATCAACGCGGCTACAGCCTAAAAATATTTTCGCCGAATTTGCTATTGTTATACACTTTGATTTTTTTTAAATAGTTGTTGTAGATTTTGATTCCTTGGTCAATTTGTATGTATATTATGCATGATATCTAAAATCCATCGTTTAGCCGCAATGGTGATTTTTTGAAAAACTAGATGGGAAGTAACAATGCGATTAAAAGGCCGGGACTGCATGAAATGTACTACCATTCGCCGAATACGGTCAATATTAATTTTTTTTGTGTTAAATGAAACCACTGCGTCAATGTTCAAAATTTCAATCACAGTTAACTTGATTTTTATTAATAGAACTACTATTTTTTTATTGCATCAATTGTAGGATTTGATTACCTTTCCAACGATATAAGCATGTCGATATTTACCAGGGTATTTACCTACCTTTTACATATTTTTTGTAATTCAACAATTTCTAATATAATTCATAGTGTTTTTCCCTGTGTTTTTTGATTTTCAAAAGCTCTCAGCAATTAGTAGGCCGTTAAAAATTATGAACAGTAATCACCAATTCAAATTATAAAACATTTCTCTGCAAACAAAATAAAACAAAAGAGACTCAGAAACCACTTCAACTCCCTCAAAGTATCCACCTAGCAGAATATTATTGATTTAGTCATTCTTTAACGTTGAGGGAAAATGAGGTGAATCACCATCGTGGTGAAACCACCTTTCTTTTATTATGTGCACCGAAACATTTGGAAGACCATCAAAAAGTACTTAAATATTTATAGTAAGCAAGTAAAAAGCAACGTTTAAATCACTTTTTTCAAATTCCATTTATCTAATAAACTTAACTAATCAACAATGCTAATGAACCAAATTGACAAATCAAATCCTACATTTGATGCAATGAAAAAAAACTTGGTAGTTCTATTTAACAAAATCAGTTAGCTTGTGATTCAGATTTGGAAAAGTGATTTTTAACACAAAAAAAGGTGTAACTTTGAGCATTAATACATTTCATGATTACTAACACTGCAAAGTCACGGACTTAAAAGTTTTATGATAATTGTGATAACTATTCAAATTTTACTGGACATCTACTTTAAAAAAAATGACGAATTGCGGGTAAACGACTAATTTTAGATATCATGTATATTATTAAAACTGACCAAGGAATTGATATATGTAATAACAGCGAATTCAATTTAAAAAATGCAACTTTTGATATAAATCAAACTGTATAACAATTGGAAATTCGGTGAAAATATTGTTAGGTTATCAACATGCCCCGATAATGAATTTTAAATATGTGCGTTAATAAACAAACCAACAACATTCCACCCATCTACAGTTAAACATACTGGATTTTGTTGAATTGGATTGTGCGCTTTATACGTGTCCTGAAGCCGTCTCTGCTCATGAAAATTTAAACTCACGATGCATGATCGAACAGAACCGCGGCGTGTCGTGTTGCTTACGAGTGCATAAGGACAGCCCACATATAATAGTATATTAAGTATTAAGGTCAGTAGGTGTACTTTACTGGTTGAGGATAATAATTGCAATATTATCCGAAATCGGTTAAGCACCTACTGACCGTGGTGCTTACGCTATTTTTTGCACGATCAATTTATAATTGATATAAACTAAATTCGAATGTATCAATATGTAGCATTCACAATGGGATTTACGATAATCAACCGGTTAAACCGGGTTTGGTAGATTTGCTATGTGTTTCAAATTATTGCCACAATTGTTCTATTAGTGATTCTACCAATCCGTTAAGCGTGAAATTATCGTAAATCCCATTGGGCTTCAGTAATTTTTTGTGGTTGCTACAGACTTTTCTGTTTTTGAAAACAAAACAACACAGTTGCGCGAAAACGTGGTTTGTGAGACTAAGGGTGGAATTCATAAAACATGACTTAAGTCACTTAGTGCTTGTTCACAATGGACATGCTTGTTCACAATGGACATAAGCATAACAAAAACATAACAGATACATAATTCATAATGTTGAATAGTAGCAAACCAACGTATGTGTTCACAATGATTACATAATTTTTATTTTTTTGTAAATGTTTGCGTGTGTTTTATGTCCTACCGAAACGGTACATAAAAAATACATAAAGTTGGGTCGGTTTCAACTTTACGTAGGTTTTATGAAAAATCTAGTGGAATTAGGTGTATTTCTGTTGGGTACAAAGACGCAGCTGTTGGTTTGACATTTCAATTACTACGTCTAACGTCGATGACATCTCTTCTGCCAACATAATCTGGTTATTTTTAAATTGGTACATAGTTTTTGGCGCATTATTTCATAGTTTGGTGTGGTTTGGTCCTTCGTGTGTTGTTTTTTGATTATATCCAACACGACATGGAAAACGTATAGACGTCGAATTATTAATTAGTTTGGTGCGATTAAAACCCTAATTGTTTAATAAAGGGGACAAAAGATATAAGGTTAATAGGTGATCGAATAATCCTGGTGTATGAAAAAAACCATATTCTTCATCATGCAGCTTCATTTCTAGACAAGCTTAAATTCTTAAATTCTCCCCT